AGATATTCCAAACTGACGTATGTTTTTGAAGAATTTCTTCCTAAGAAAGGGAGCTATGAGTATAAGGTGGATTACCACTTGTAGAAATAAATCCATGTTCTTTCAAAATACAATTTATATAATGAGCCTTACAAACGAAGACAATGCTGTTACCTGCTAGTACGTAGTGATCATTTAATTTATCTAATTCTTCTGGACTATTGAATACAGAAGGATACATTGTTTTCACATTGTTTCCAAATCTTTCAATACTGCAGCACACATAGTCCAGTAGGTGTTGATATAAAATTCAAAGCATTTAAACAACTTGCTTATAAAAGAGTAATTAGAAACTACTCAAAGGCTGACTATAAATCGCTCAACAAAAATCTTTCAGAAGTGGATTGGAAACACAATGAATATAATTTCCCAAAATCAAAGTCACTGTCACCTTGGACTGACACTTCAGTCTAATGGGGGCTGGTCAGAACATATCGCAACAATTTATGAAAAAGCTTGCCTAAGACTAAACATACTGCGCACACTAAAATATAAATTAAAGAGAGACTCCTTAATCAAAATATACCTATCATTTGTTCGACCAGTTGTAGAATATGGGGATGTGGTATGGGATAATTGCACTGAAGAACAATCTAAATTATTGGAGAGTGTGCAGGTGGAAGCTGCAAGAATAATTACAGGCATTAGGTGTAATACATCAAAAAGTAATTTATACACAATCAGTGTCATACTACAACAGCTTTGTACCATCCACAATATCCTTGTGGAAAAATTTATCAGATGATTGTAAAAACTCCCCTACATTACAAACTTTTAAAAATAAATTAAACTCTACCACTCCTATTCAGAAAAATAAATATAAACTTTACAATTATGGTAATAGAATTGAAAACATAATACACTGCCAGTTAAGGAATAAATGTAGCAACCTTAATGCTGATCTTTTTAAAGATCACTTAAATGAATCACCAATATGTACAAATTGTGGATATCAAAATGAGAACTCACTGCATTTCTTCGTGCATTGTCAACAATATGCCTTACAACGACAATTACTGATTAAATACATGAATGAAAATAACATACCAATTAATATAGAAAACATATTATATGGTGTAGACTCACTAAGTCTGGATAAAAAATTTTCATTTTTTGATCATGTACATACCTTTATAAGAACCTCTAAGAGGTTTTCATTGAAATTTTAGTTTATTATATTCTATGGGAAATATACTATTTTACTATATATAAATTGCTCTGTTAGGGAATTCTTCCTACTCTGGGTCAACAACAATTGCTCAAACATATGTTCTTGTTTTTTTTGTTTTTGTTTTGGTTTGGTTTGTTTTTTTTTTCTTTTTGTTGATTATATTTTATTTATTATATAATTATTATTTTTCCTATCTATTTGTTAAATTATATTTTTTTCTTATCATTTCTCTCTCTCTCTCTCTCTCTCTCTCTCTCTCTCTCTCTCTCTCTCTCTCCCTCTCTCTCTGAATAAATTCCAAATATGTTCCAATGTATAATCTACTCTTCATACATTTTTCAATGTTTACATGTACTTGTAATTGTACCTTGACCTATGGAGAGAACGATCATAGGCATTTATGCCTGCTGTTCAATCCATTTCTTTATATGAATAAAATATATTTTAAACTAAATCTTTCAATACGTGATTGTAACATGGATCTGATATATTTTATCCATTCTGACAAAAGGTCAACGTTTTCTTTTTCATGTCTGGCCCATCGCCTGGCATATTCTTCTACAGAATCCTTAAAATAAAACTTATGAAAAACGTCACTCAGCATTTGACTCAATAAAGAGTTCCATGTACTAACAGGGTCATTGTATCGACCATAATAATTGCGAAATGATGACTTTCATTGATAGTGTTGATATCCTATTGATGTTAACTATTGTTAATTGAAAATATATCGTCGATATATTGAAATGTCGAGTTGAAAGCCACAGCAAGTGTTTTCGTCTTCTCATGTAGAGGTGTTTGAATAAATTCTGCTTCATATGAATACTAAAACAGGTCTGCTATAAACGGAAGGGGGGATTGGTACCCGTGAGAATTCAAACATACTGTTTGAAGAACTACATAGAAATCAATTGGAAACTCACTCATCTTTTTAACATCACCTTCAGAGAACTTGTGTGGACAATTAGAATGTTTTTCAACAAAATATTTTTGCAAAAGACCAATGACCTTTACATAGGTAATATTGCAATGTATACTCGACAGATGTTTTAAGTGTCATATGTTGAGCTAGTGTATGTTGAACATTCCTTGAACATATGGATTGTCCACCATATGTTTAACTTATGATTTTACAATATGTTTAACATAAATTGTTTAAATATTTATTGAATAATACGTTCAATACGTTCAATATAGGTTTTGTCAAAGCTCAATCCAATTGCGGACAAAACTGGGGCATTTTGCACTTAACATGTTCGGACCATATTTATGTTAATGAGCAAACTCTCATTATAAGTAACAGCCCTCCTTCAGACTGCGGAATAATGAGTTGATTCTAACGTCGCGGGTTTGAATCCAGTTGCGCTCCTTGGGCTGAGACCTTGTAGAATTGAGATTCCGTATCGCAGTAGATGCTGCCACAAAAAAGTATCCCTCGCTGCTTAATATTTCTGTGTGAATATGGGTCAGAATTTGTAGCCCTCCACCTTCAAGTGGTGGCTTCTCCTTATGAGTGAAAAATTTTTGAGAGGAATATTAAACAAAAAGCAAGCAAGCAAACAAACAAACATTCTTTAGTGGAACTATCTAAAATATTTAAAAGGCCTTGAGTATCTGTAAATCGGATTGGATCCAACATATAGTGAAAATATGGTGAAGTAAATGTAATTGATTATTTTTACTTAGAGAAATTAGACATCTATTCAAGTTGAATGCTGTATATCTGTAGATAAAAGACGAGTGTTTAAAACAACAAAAACAACAAAGAACAACACCCCCAATACACATCAGGATCCTATATATATGTCCAAAAGGAGGAACATGTATAAGATATTTTGAATTAAAAAAGACGTCTTGCTGATTGAGTTTCCGTAATATTTCTAAAATTCTCGTTCCATGTGTTGATTTTAAGACTTGGAAACTTAAACACACTGGCAATAAAATAAACCAAGAAATTTTATGTAGATCACGAGCATAGAACAAAGAATTCAAGTCATTGGCCTACTTATTTGAAATTGAAATTTAACACAAGGATCATGGGTTACAATGTGCAGTAGGTGGTTTTTCGTTCTTATCAGTGGAATTTTCATGTCATCTGAGTAAATGTATACCTTGAAGCAAAAGTGCAAAACGACTGCTTTAATTACAACTTTTATTGCTCTAGGAGAAAAATAATCAAGCTTTTCTATTGATATTTTCGTCTTAATTGTCCTGTCAAATTGCAGTTGTTCTCGAATGAAGACAAATTGAAAGCAATGCACCTGAGATAGAGGTTTTTTTTGTACATTAATACAAAAGCATCAACAGTTATTATGTATTTCTTTTCTTTTTCATTTGTCCTCTTGCTATAAGTACTGTAAAAACTATAGTATAGTAAAAACTATCCTTTGAAGACATTGCACATTGCTTTGTCGCAAAATAGCATATTTTTCACATCATATTGCGAAAGCACATTAATCATTGAGTTCACAAAAAGACAGCAATTTGCATAAGACACTGCTTTTAACACACTTTGGTTATCATAGTTTTCTAAGGTTCATTCTACCTATTCCCACTTTTTGAAAATCAGGTAGGAAAAGTTAACATTTTATGTGGGAATAGGTGGAATTTTTATGTAAATAAATAATTGATAACTATATAAACATATTAATGTTGTATAAACAGTGATTAATGAACAACTGAAAGGAAATTTGGCTTTTTTAAATTCTAAACCAGGCTTTTTACTAAAATTCGAAAGAATATTCGAAATTTTTAAATGAATTAATGATAAATCGTTTTTCCCGTTTATTTTTTTATTATATTTTCTAAAATTCAACGATTTTAATGCGTTTTTTTCATAAATCTTAATTCTCATTTTACGTTTTTAAATTATAGATATAAAGAGGATCATTATAACTCTTTATTTTAAAATACTTGGTAATTAAATATAGGGGGTGTGCATTTGAATGTTTCAACATTGTTTAAAGGTACATGGACACAGCTTCAGCTAAAATTTTCATTTTTCTTTTCCATATTTTTAATGTTTCGTAATATTTCACTAAGGTATTTCTAATAATCATCCAAAATTTGAATTCCATTTGTCTAGATACAAGACAAATCTTTGTTATGTAAACAGGGCACTTATATATGCAAAGGTTAAATACTAGTATACTTAGACATGTTCGCTCAAAGCAGATTTTTTAATAAAGAAGTTTCAAATTCTAAATACGATTAGACAGATCGATCCTAGAGATTTGGTGTATCTTGTTTTGTTACAAATATTTTTTTTTATATGTAGACAAAAACAAGACACGAGCCTTGTTTACATAATGAAGAATTTTAAGCTCTGAATCTCCTTCGTAAATCAACAACTGATGTTCAAATTTTTGCTGATCAGTAGAATTGTCTTAGTTAGGAATTGTAAACATTAATATTGGTTACAAAAAAAGTCACTTGAAACTGCGTCCATGTCGCTTGAAAAGTAGATGTAATATCTTAAAAAGAAGAATGATTTTTGTCCGTGTACTACTGAATGTACTCAATATAAATTAGACATAGATCTATTTTCATAAGTATAGAATAGCAAGGTTTTCACAAATACTTCATTTTCCAAAAGTGTGGGGTGGAAATGGCGCCAGTGTACGTATTTTGCTGTCTCGCGGTGTATGTTATCTGCTATTTATTCTTTAACACCAGAGCTTAATACAAACTTTACTCATTTTGCACATCATAGGTGTGTCAATCCAATTGTACGATATTTAGATACTTATATATAAACCGCCAGTGAAGATCTCCAATCGTTTATTGTGCCTATTGCAATGACGGTGAAAAACTTTGAAAGATTACTTTATTTCAGTATCCTGCTTGTTGGTAAGTTGTTTTACATTATAATAAGTATACATAAGTATAGATTCAAAACTGTAAAGTTTGAAATCGAATTATTTCTTTAATGAGGTACCATGTGTCAGGAAGGGATGTTATTACCGGGATTTTTTTTTTTCCAAGAAGGCCTAGAATTTTGTACCGCAATAATTTTCGTATAGAACTAGAATAGAAAGCAAGTTTTATTTAGTTAAAAAGGGAATTTAAAAAACATGTTGACCGTCACTTTTTTAACTGTTATTGAGCATAGATGTCTGGGTTGGAGAGCCTTGACAAACTTTTAAATTCTCAACTCCAAACTATTGTTAAAATTTGTATTTAAAAAAATATATTTATACATGTACATAGAAAATAGAATTTTACGTTATATAAGATAAGACTTATTGTACTTTGCTATGAATCTTACCTTTAATGTGTTTATTCTCTTTATGTTTTTTTTTTTATTCAATTGGAACCGGGGTAAACAAAATCAAAAATGTTCCATTCCTCTTTTGCCTTATTTCAGAGACTTTTGGGAAAAAATACCTCCATCTTAAATTCTTGTTGTAAATTTTTTAAATAAAAATCCGTAAGTTTTCCTGGATTTATAACCTTTCTTCCTTAAGAAAAAAAATACGAATATATTTTTAAAAATGTTTTTATGTTAGTTTTTCCTTTAAAATGGGGGGGGGGGGGGGTCTTTCTTATGGAATGCCCCTATATGGCCTTCTAGGATTCTTTTGGAACCATCACACTTTAATATTTTTCTCTATATCAAAATTATTATGTAATTTTTATGTATTATTATGAATATTTAAAGAAAAGTGTCATACAAATCTCAAAGGTCATACAGAATTTCCAAATATTGATGTTGTGAACTTTTTATAGATTCTATATGCATCATATTTTTCATAACAAAAAAATAACATATAGACTGTTACGTGTGACTGACTTATACTTTTAATCCCTTTGTTTTTTGCCATAAAATCGTGATAACACCTCATGTAGAGGATGAATATCGTTTTGCTTTAATCTGTCCATATTTTGAAGAGCTTCGTAAAAAAGTATATGAAGAAAAAATACTGGCAGAAGCCATCTGTTTTTAAATTTATACAATTATTAGATTTCACAATGCTTTCTCTCATATAGTAATTCACCATGAAGTCATTAATAATTTTTTTACATAGTATTTTTTATATATGTAATCTATAAAAACCTCCATACAATGCCATTATGTAAATATTTTGTATTACATGATATTGAAATGCGATTACATTAATTTTTTTTTGGCATAGTATTTTTTATATATGTAATCTATAAAAACCTCCATACAATGCCATTATGTAAATATTTTGTATTACATGATATTGAAATGCGATTACATGTATACGTCTTAAGCAGTAAATTAATACTAATTCAATAATTAATGTCTTGTTTATTTTTTAAAGCTTTGCTGCTGTATAAAAAAATTAATACTAATTCAATAATTAATGTCTTGTTTATTTTTTAAAGCTTTGCTGCTGTATATGTCTTAAGCAGTAAATTAATACTAATTCAATAATTAATGTCTTGTTTATTTTTTAAGCTTTGCTGCTGTATATGTCTTATATATTAATACTAATTCAATAATTAATGTCTTGTTTATTTTTTAAGCTTTGCTGCTGTATATGTCTTAAGCAGTAAATTAATACTAATTCAATAATTAATGTCTTGTTTATTTTTTAAGCTTTGCTGCTGTATATGTCTTAAGCAGTAAATTAATACTAATTCAATAATTAATGTCTTGTTTATTTTTTAAGCTTTGCTGCTGTTCCAGGGAGACATGACTGCTGGGTGTCAGTGCCCTGATACATCCTGTATGCAGCTCGCCCATACAGCTCGCCGATGTGAGTGCTGTGTGTTTACATTCCTCGGGAAAAGATCCCCAAAGCCTGCTGTCAACGCTTATTCCAAGAAGGAGTCCATTTCTTCGTATTCGTCATTTGCAGACCAGAACATTGCCAATATTGACTACTGGTTCCGACTTTCAGGGCTTTCAGACATGACAGAGACTTAGTTTTGTCATGAGGTTACAGTTTATTGTTCGCCTAAAATACGAGACTCATTAGAATGCACAATGTATACAAGTAAAAAAAAGTATTATATGAAATATCAATAAAAACATATTTACCGTTGCTGTGGTTATTATGATGTTATTTTTCAATTGTGTAATCAGAATACCGGTATGTATGTACGTAAACCAAAAAAAAATCTTAACATCGGAAAAAAATACATAATACGACAGTTTACAAAATGATATGTGCGATAAGAAAAAAAAAATAGACAATTAAGAAGTAAGTAACTGAGGAGATATCAACCTTTTCTGGCGATTGAATAAAGATCATTACAGCAACAATATAATACTGGGTAGTATAGATCCAAACCCTAACACCAGACCCCGACACGGGGGCCAAGAATTTTACAATTTTCATCAAGGTCCCTTAATTGCCAATACCATGCATTGAATTCTCATTTCTAAATATCTGTCAGCAGAAAGGATTTTTAAGATATATTGTGCATTTTACAACACTATCAATAGGGATCATACTAACATATTAACAACCCTGACCCAGGGTCCATGAAATACCGGTACACAGATTTAGAAGAAACCCAAATGCGGAGATTTTCAGAGAAATGCATGTACATATACAAACCATTTTCCATTGATATATTTATTAGAGACCCACTCTGTCACCAGAACCCTTACGACACGGTCACACCGAGGCTGTGAAACTCAATTTTGAAGAGACATGAGAGAGAGAGAGAGAGCGAGCGAGCAAACCCTTTTCCCAATCACATCCTGTATCAAGCCTAGACACCAATTTCACCAAGAGAGATAAGGCCATTCCAAGTTTTTTTCTATGTTTAGCGTCCACGTGCGCCTTGGTTTTTGACACCCCATATAAGAAAATACACACAACATCAGGAGTCCTGAAATTGATTAATTTAGTCGAATTTTTTTTTTTATTTTGTCCATTTTTCCAAATAATTCTGTACAATAAGTTATATTGGATATATTTTAAGCATTAAATCCCTTGTTTTTGCTTAAGAATACATATTTCTTCTATTAAAGTAGTTTAGTTAAATCAAATCATTTGAAGGACGTCATTTTTATGACTTTAAAGTCTGTGTTTTATGCTTTGACTTATGTGTTTTTTGCGAATAGGTAGGTAGGTTTTTGAAAGATGGGTGGACGCTAAACAGAGAAAAAACTTGGAATGGCCTAATCTAAAAAGTCCCAACTTGATCACGCTAGGGGCCTGTAGCGGTCTGTAGTAAATCACTAAAATTTTAATCGCCGAATATGCTTTCTTCATAATCACTATACTGGATACAGTAATTATGACCTAAGGTACTCCGATCCTCGGGTCCAGAATATAAGGAGCGTAATTGAAATGATCACAAAAAATGTCTCTGAATTACTCATGGTATTTCTTCGAATATATTTTCAGGAAATGCGAATCAAAGTACATGTAATCGAAAATTGATCAACAAATATATTTTACAATAAAAAACATATATAGGTATCCAGGCATTTGGAAAAAATTCTTATTCGATCTTTAGTTTTTTCTGTTTAGTTCAATTTTTATAAAATACATAGTGTAAAACGTTTTTACTATCGTTGTATGACATCACAGATCAATTCTGTAAATTTGCATATCACACTAATAAATATTTATATCAAGGACTAGATTAAAGGATATTAGATTTCTATAAGAATGCATTTCTTTTGGTACTTCAAGGGCTAAAAATGTCAAATTTTGATAAGACCGTTTCTAAGACTTCAAATAATCTTGAATCATATTAAGATACCTAACTGAAAATTGTTGCACGAAAAGATTTCAATTTCAAGCTTAATTTTTGGGCTTTTAAAATAAAAATAACTATTTTAATAGTTATCCTTCCTAGCTGATGATCGGATATCCTTAAATAACTTTGATTTGTCTTGTATTTATAAGCAGTAATTTCATCTGCTATTGTATTTACTCAAACTTTTGTGTAAATTGGTATTCAAATGTATAGTAAACGTACCGAAACTTATCTAAATGAGGAATTTCCTCTCATTTGTGAATTTTTTTCCATACACTACCATTTTCCCCATTTTTTACCTACACTGCAACGTGTCTGTGAAAACGGTTCCGACGCCTATGATACGTATTTGTTCATGTAGATGTGTACAGTATTCTATAACCAAAAATTTTACATCCCAAAATAAATAGATATCAAAGAAATTCAGAGAGTATATGTCACTGTGACTTTTTTTATCCACATGTAAATACGTCAATATTGTTGATTTTTTTAAAAAATGTTTTTCACAACCCTACAACAACAAAGGGGACATGGTAAAAAAAATGATGATTTACTCTACTTGGGGATGCTTTGATCAAGAACCATCAAAATTCATAAATTTTTAATGAATTCGTCCTATTTTATATTTTAAACTTTTTCATGTCTCTGTATTAATGGTATATAGTTTTTGCCCTGTCCATCAGTCTGTCTGTCTTGTCGTTCCCACAGACACCTGGGGTACGAACACACACACACACACACACCCTCTCCATTTTCTTTTCTTTAAATCTGGGGTTGTGTCATCTTTTCCCTATTTTTGTACTCTTTTATGCACTATATGTTATCAATGATGTAGCTCGTTTGTCTCTGTAACTGTTTTTAAATATATACAGTATATAAAAAATGAAGGCTTGCAACTTTTTTCTCGTCATTCGCCTCACCTCTCATAAACCTCTCGTGATTATATTTTGTGCCCCCGATTTATAAATATTTCGATGAAATACATGAAACGAAATATAGCATGAAAGCTCTAGTACCAACTGTTCAGAAGTTATTGTCAATGTTAAAGTTGGGTGATTTTTTTTCAAAATTGGGTTAAATGTCAAGGTAAAGAGTAGAAAGAGAAGCTTTGCCACAAGGAATGGTTATTTAAATTATAATAGTCATAGGGCTAGAGCTTTCATGCTTCAAATTTGATTGATTCATTCATTATAAGACTTTCCATTAAAATAACATATGAGTTTGATCCATTTTTTCAAACCTTTACCTTGGACATAACTTTTGAACAATTTATACTAGAGCTTTCATATTTTTCATGTGTGTTCCATGTGACAAGGCCTTCCTTTGGATACCAATTTTGACCTTGGAGTATAACCTACTTTTGAAAATTAACCTTGGAAATAACTTTTAAACAGTTGGTGTTAAAGAGTTAATATTCCACTTGACCATGACCTTAGAGTTTGACCCACAAATAAAAATAACTTTGGGAATAACTTTTTAATGGTTAATGATTGGGCTTTCATAGATCACAGGGTACATTAATTGAAAACAAGCCCTCTCTTCGGGGGAAAAAACATTTTTCATCCCTTGATCTTGGATTTTTAATTGCTTTTGAGAAACTTTAACCTTTGCTATCAAAGCTGTCTTACCATAGTCTCAGCGTTTCACAATCGTATCTTCTTTATTTGTGGCCCCAGTGACAATGTTTTGACCAAAAAAAAAATGATTATGCATTACGATAGTATTTCTGTATCTTGATTTCACAAGTACTGTTGATTGGCAAATAATCACTATGGTTTTAATTTCACTGTTCGCAATTAATCATTTTTCCGCGAAATTAAACCCATCATGAATGCTAAAAACGTTTTAAATGCTAATAGAAAATTTTGAATTATTTTTTTGCAGCGTGAAATTAAAACCTACACAATTGGTACTTATTGAGATATCATGAAATTTTAACACCATGGAATTAAAACGATTTACAGTATTTAAAAGGTTTTACTTCTTTGAAAAGATTAGTTGGTGACCGCTGGACCTTTACGAATAGCGCTGACTTTTACAGTTGACAGCTTACTTTTACACTAGAATAATGTACAGAAGCTCTTTTATGATAAAATATTGAGCTCAACATTTAATTCAATTTTAATATAATATTATTTCAAAGCGTAAAATTTGATTTTATGACAGAAAACAACAAAACCTCAACTCCCTGTCTTCACATGTTAGTGCCCCTAACAATATAAGGGGCACTACCTATGAGCGCTAGAAAGGTGTTCTTATCTATTATCTAAAAACTGATGACAGCAAGTAAACATACTAAACATTGATATTTTTTCCATACATTATGCAGGTTTAAATACCGTAATATGGCAATTTTAGAGGTATTGGGTTTTGAAAAAATAAACTTAGAAATTAATTCCTAGACCAACCTAGATGGTGAACTTTTTTTGAAATTTCACAATTTGGTGACTTTTTACATTAACTTCCATCTACTTGAATGAAAAAGAAATTTCTAGGGCAGAAATACAAAAATATATGCGAAAAGTCCAATAGTGCTTTAAATGTAAAAACTATTTAATAAATATAACAGTAAAAATTACCTAAAAAATTTTCAGATATCCTCAAACTTTAATGCTTTATCAAACTTTAATGCTTTTATCACACATCAAAATTTTTAGTCCTTTCATACATCTTCATGTAAAACAAGAAAGCAATAAAACATAGAATTTTAATCTATTACACAATACTGTACTTTTAGCATATCTTAATTAAATAAAAAAGGTCATTTGATACAATCTGAAGTCAAGACTAAGGTTTGATGATAAAAAGTCATCAATACAAGATTTAGTTTCCAGAGATCATTGATGCAACAAAATATTCAAGTTCTTTTGAAAAAAAAAAATCAGAAACAAAGGGTATTCAACATACAGCAACAAAATTTTGCAGTTTTATCAGGAGTGTAAGATTTCTTCAAGCTTTTTAATTCAAATTTTTTTTAAAAATCCAGAAAAAGTACAGCACTTTCATATACATATTGTAGCACTTGTTTTCCGTTTTTGCCACTAATTACAAGACAGAGGTTGTCTATAAAGAGTTTGTGTGACTCAGCTGGTGTCCATCATCATTATATCCGTAGACGACGACTGGGCGTCCTTCTGAATACTCTCAAACATGGCCGCCAACTCCGTACTTTGCTTGATTTGAGATAAGAATTCATTCATCTGTGGACTTTTGTCTGTAGAGAATAAAAACAAAATTAGAATCTCAGTATCTATACAAAGTACAGAAAAGTATGGGGAAAATTTTTTTTCCAAATATGTGAATTTCAAAAACATATCCCAATGTGACAGCCATACCTGCGTCAGGGATAGCAAGCAGTGAAGCTACAGCTCTCATGGCTGACCGTTTTAATTCGTCCTGTTTCTCAAATTCCTGTTTGACAGAGTGTGCCTTCACTTTAGTGGTACAGGTGGCTCTAAGTGGCTCTACCAGTCTGTCTAGTCCTACAATAACACAATGCATGGGGTTCCTTAGCTTTCTTGATACACCAGTGTATTTGAAACAATAGAGTAAAGTTTTAACCCCATAAATTATAAACAATTCCTTTTAACAGAATTAACTTAAAACTTCATTACAATTGCAAAAAGACAACCCATACATTTCATAAAAATATTTGTATACCCCCATTAAGCATTGCCGTGTTGTTGTTTTTTTTTTTTACATTTTCACTTACAGACCATGCCCATTATAACCCTAGATTTAATGAATTTGACTTCACATCAGATTTGTACTCTGTTTTATTACTCAATACACATGTATTTTGTTCATGATTTCCAGTATGTAAGGAATGTGCCAGGATTAATCTTAGACTTACTTTGTAGTACAGCACTGGGACAGAGATGAGCCAGTCTGACCAGCATTAAATAGGTTAACATCTTGATATCATAGTGATCCTTTAGACCATCCTCAACATGATTCAAAAACTCAAAAATGTCTAATCTGTCTAGGCAGGAATCCAGGAGTGTGTACATACACTCAAAAGCAGCCTACAAAATTAAAAAAATTAAGAATGAACTTCATATAAAGCTATATATTGTGTGTACAAAATTGCATGTAAATCCAGTGTATATCAGAGCATTTGAAGTTTCAAAATTGGATCATCAGAATATTTTTCAAAGTATTTTTTCATATTAACTTAAGAGTTCAATATAGAGCTGGATTGGACTTCACCATGACTTTACAACTTTCTCCTTTCTAATCATTCCATCACTTTTCTCTGGTGCCTCATTATTTTCACCTCACAGCTGTATATAATGAATACTGAAGCCTCACCTTTCTGATGTCTAGTCCATCATCTAGTGTGTGTTTAAATGGACCCATCTCTACTTCACGGATCAGCTCTTTCTAAAAAACAAGTCAAATTATTGAAAAAAAAAGAAGCTAAAACTAACAGTTTTACTTCATGTAACTTAAAAAAAAAATCATTCAATTCTGAAAAGTTTTCCTTAACACAAAATATTTCATTTTAAAGAAACAGTACCCCAGGAACTCATCTTAAATAGTCTATGAAGTGTAATTCAAAAGCTTACCCTGACTTTGGTTTCATTGTAGAGATGAGGGAGAACTTTATCCAGCAAATCTCTGATAAGTGATGGCTTGTTGTGAGCCGCAGAATTAAACGTCACTAAAGCAACACGTCGTACATTTAAATCTGGGTCTTGTAAAGTCTTGAGAAAATCTCCTATACAGTTACGTAATAAGTTGTCTATTCCTTGTGGCTAAAAAAATAATAGGAAAACTGTGATGAAATACATGTAATCTATTAACAAAAGTAACAATTCTATATTTTTTGGATAAGGCATTAAAGGCAGTATTTAAATTAACATCAAATTAAGAAATGTTTTTCTCCAAATTTTTGTGTTTCTCTTCAATAAAATGTTGATCATATTTATTTCCTACAGAAATATAATCTACATGTATAATTTACATTGATAATGCATTCTTTCTCAGAACACCTTGCCTTTTAAATTAACAATTTTAAAAAGGATTAATAGTTATTTATCAGAGTAAGAGTTGTCTCTCTTTATCAGAGGGTTGATGAGCCTTAAAAACACCTTTCCCTTGGGGAGCTGGCAGTGTACAGACCTGATCAGATATGGTGAATTTGATCGCTGTGACTACTGTACTCCTGGTCAGAGCTGATGAAGAACTCAGATGATTCTTAAGGTTGGTGAGAAGATTAGCTGGGTCAATCAAGGTCAGTTTTCCTAAACACTCAGAAACAACATTTCTGGTACCCTCCTCCGGACATTCACAGTGATTAAACAACATTGACCTGAAGTAAAGATGTATCATTTCTATATTAAATCATATTGTGGAAGTGAACAGTACATTACAAATCCTTCCAGGACTCAACATCAATGATTGTGTGATTGTCCATGTCCTTGTCCATTGCAACTGGACAAGTCAATCTCAGTTTTATACTGATATATATACTGTATATATATTACTCACCATACAGAGGATACATAGGGCTTGAGATTGTCTACTCCAGCTGTTGAGGTGGACTCACAGCTGATTATCTGAAATTTGTTATATTGAAAAATAAAATGCTTTATTTGACTGTTTAGTTAAGGAAAGATAAATGGCCATAGTTTTTATTAGAAATACCATAGTTTTCATTAGAAATAAAAGAGATAGATAATATTCAGAGGATGTAAATATCAAATGATATGTACATTTCATAAATCAGTATGTTGATACATCTATCATTTTCATAACAAGATTTATGAACCTGTGACTAAGGAAATGAATTTCCTTAAGTATCGTCCCTTAATATGTCCAACTCGATTTTTTAATTACATTTGAGATTTAGGTTGGACAATATCAATCATAAACCAAAAGCTTCTGACACTTTAAATTCATGACTTTCCATGAAATGCATGAGACCTGCTGAATTTGACTTGTAATGATAGGAGTAGTATTAGTGCCAGTTATTAGATGTTTCTTGTAACACTACATTATATACCTCTTTCAAGGAGTGGAGAAGGAGATATTGCCTCTTTGGTTGATTTTCTATTTCTTTTAAAACAAATGGTAAAAATTTTGGTAGATTTCCAACACTGACGTTTCCTGTAATTGAAAAAAAAAGATGTTAGAATCCTAGCATTTCATAATATTTCATTATTCTCCTTTTAGCCATAAATATTTCAACTTACACCAAAAACACCATACTTTAAAAAAACAAGATGTGCTTGGGAGACACTATGTGCCTGGTGGCAAAAAGGTTCAAAAAAGCTATTTTTAGCATTAAGTTCACAGTCAAGGTCACAAGGTCATGACCTTGGTGTCATTAGAAAGATCACAATTAGTGAAGTATGCATACCAAATATGAAGTCTCTATCTCCAATGGTTTAAAAGTTATGGTGAAAGTTCGAAAAAGCTATTTTTAGCATACAGGTCAGGGTCATGGTCACAAAGTTATTGACCTTGGTCTCACTTGAAAGAACTCAATTCGTAAAGTATGCATATTAAATATGAAGTCTATCTCCTATGGTTCAAAAATTATGGTGTTAAGTCGAAAAGGCTATTTTTAGCATATAGGTCACAGTCAAGGTCACAAGGTCATTGACCTTGGTGTCATTTGAGAGAACTTTATTAGTGGAGTATGCATACCAAATATTGTGTCTCTGCCTCTCATGGTTCAAAAGTTATGGCAAAGATTAAAGTTGACAACAGACAGACAGACAAACAGATAAACAGACAAACAGATAAACAAACAGACAGGACAAAAACAATATACGCCCTGGATTTTTTTTTATTGATCCGGGCGCATAAAAAAAAAAACAATATACACCCTGGATCTATCGATCCGGGTGCATAAAAAAATGTTTTCATTGAAATACTATTTTGATATCAAGACTGCAATAAAGAGCAGAAGAAATTATGTACTTTTAGTCAAAATGGATCTGTAATAGAAATTTCAACCCACACTATATAAAGCAGAGAAAATTGCCAATATATATTGATGAAATGCTAATTACCTTCTAAGCTTGCTTCACACTTCATTTATAAAATACAATAGTTATACAATACAGCAGTGTGCATACATGTAAGATGAAGTGTCTGACGTACCTAAGGCATACGATGCAGCGGCCTTAACTTCTTCATTGTGTGAAGAGAAAGATTCCAGTATCACAGCCTGTATCTCACCATGTCCACTCAGGTCTCTGTCAAACAAATACAACTTCAGGTAAACTTACACTATAGAATTTCAAACTGGGCTTACAACTTATTCTTCAAACTGTGAACTACACATCTACTTTTATATGTATTGTTTATGATTCTAAATCATGACTATTCTAGCATGCTTAAATAAAAAATTTTAAAAAAGAAAATTTGATTATCTTTAAAAGAGATGATCTGGATTTTCAGTCAGACACACAAGGAATAAAGGTTGTCGTGAATAATATTTGGTTGAAAGTGTTTTATCAAACAACTTACATATGTTTTCCAATTTCTCCAAGAGCTAGAAGAGCAAAGAACCTAATGGAGTCTGTAGATTTAGGATTTTTGACATCTTTGACAAATTGTGTCACTACATTATTTACTTCTCCTGGACATTTCATAGTTAGAGCAGCCACACATTTAGCTATAGAGTGGAAAGCCTACAAAAAAACATCATAATCAAAGGGTCAAGCGCATTTTTTTTCATCTTTGTTCATGCATATGCATGATTCGTTAAAATGCATTGTATAAATTTAACAAAAGATCTTCCAAACTTATTGTTTTGATTAAACTTTAGCGGGTTGTCATTGTAAACATTTTAAACTTTGTCATTGTGGACATTTTAATACTTCAAAACTTTTTTTCCTTTTTTACCTGTTTATGGACAGCAAACCCCATGTTTGTCGTGGATGTTGGATTGTATATAGGTGTAATTAACAGCTGCAAGACAAAATAGATTTTTACCTAATTGACTGTCACTTTGAAATACCGTATAAGCAGAATTTTTAGCAAGGATTTAGTTTTGGCATTATTAGAAAGAGTGCCAAAATCGCTAAAATTGAATATCCCTAAAAATTGCACTTTATTTGTAATAGCTTCTTTTGTAATCTTTTTAAAATCCACTTATACGGGAGTAAAAAAATTTGATATGCCTACAATAAGTACAGTATAAATTTTATGGTCTATGTTACATGATATTAAGAATATTTACCTGTAGGAAATCTCTGAAGCCATGTTTGGGTAACCCAGTGGCCACCAGTGCTTGGAACAGCTCCAGTAGTGCCGTGAGGGCCCCTCCCTGAAGTAGGGGGGACTGGATAAGTAAGAGAATCTGGGGCAGAATCTCATTGGGCAGACTGGCCATACAGGATTTGTGGGTCTTAGAAATTGACGTCAACAAGTTCAAAGTCAGCTGTAAAACAGAATGTATTTGATTAACTTATTATAAAACTCATATTTTTTATCTGTAGCTATAAACTTAAAACAAAGGTGGTGAAACACATTTAGGCCTAATCCAAGATAATTGATAAGAAAATCAAAGTTAAGGTTCATTTATTCTCTAATAAGGCCTTTAAAAAAATAAAAATATTTTCCTTTATTCTTTAAATATGCAAATTAATATAAAAATTACTATGGATTATATTCAATTAACCCATTTTTAAAAGATACTTTATACCTTTTACCCGCCTCATAATTAGATATAATCTAATTTTTTTTATTTCTGTTTTTTCTATGTTTTCCGTAATAAACTATTAAATCAATCTTAATTTTTATATATTTTCTATGTAATGAAGTACTTTTATTGTGTATTAAAGATAATATGTGCCTGTTTCGGATTAAGCGGCTTTAAATTCATATTTTTTATTGTAGCTATTTTAAGATGAAAAACATTTAGGCCTAATCCAAGATAAGTCGACAAATGATTTTGACAGCATAATGAAAAGATGGGAATTGCTGTAATACATGTGTATATATTTTAAACAAGGGTCATTGGTTGAAAAAGATTGGTGATGATGTGAAGTGGTTGAAAAAGATTGGTGATGATGTGAAGTAAGAGAACCTTTACTATGACTTTTATTCGGGTATTGTAGATAAAATTACACCGATTGACCAGGTCAATAAAAAATGTGCAAAATTGAAAAAAATAAAAAATATAAAATAAAAGCCGCCCGCCCGCCTCAATTTTTAATTAAAAAAATTCGGATGAGAATCTAGCAATTTATTTATTATGGCCTAAGGGAGAAAATTCTCAATGGTTTCATGACATATTCCCTTGAAAAAAATGTAAGTTAAAATGGAATTTTTGTCAAAATTTGCAACACAAATCATTTGTAAAATATTAATCATTAGAGCAAAATTTTATTTGAGAGAACAATGGGATGTTGGACCTTAAACAACTTTACCTTTTCTACATTGAAACGGCTTAGAAAATGATCCCTGTACTTTTACAAACAAGAGAAAACTTTTCTTGACCTCTCACCTGAGAAACATGGAGATCATTCTCATTAATAAGGGGTGGCATTTCATTCATCACTTCATAAATCATACTGGCTGACAGAGAAGCCCCTAAAATAAATCAAAAACAAGCCAATAAAGCTGATGATCAGACAATAAACATCTATTTGGAAGTATCTTATTGAATTTTTTATTACCCAGGTGAGTTTTATTGCAAATATTTTTTTTCTCCACAAAAACAACAATATTTGAAAAATGAAACTTTTCAAAAATACATCTCTTAAATATGATGAATATAGACACAAATGAAAACTGATGAAATTTACAATTTTTGAGGATATTGACATACATGTAATACTTGTTTCACTTATTGGACAATGGTACTTTTACTTTGCTATACATGTATATCCAAGTAAAATCTGAAGTTTCAGCATATTTTTTTTAACACAGTGCATTAATTTCAAATGAATCTTGACTTTTACTTTTAATCCTCTTCTTCTACAATAAGAGTATGCCAAGTGAAGACAAGAGGCACGATACTTATACCAAGCAACCAAAGATTACAAAGCTCTCCAAAAGTATCTAAAAGTCCTGGATTGTTCATTTTAAGTCTAAGAAAGTGTTAAGTCATAGAGAACATCTTCATGTTATCATTAGCCCCCTATCAAACACACTGACTGACAAGACTAAATAGTCTAATACACCAAGCATATAAACCATTAGTTTTATAACAAGATGCCAATGGTCCACAATGTTTATCTCTTGTTCTTCATAAGCAGATCTGTTTCCACTTATTTTCCTACATTAAACTCTGATTGCCTACTGTAGACCCACCCTAACCCTGGGGTCATGATTTGAACAAATTTAAATCTACACTACCTGAGGATGCTTTCATATAAATATTACTTAACATAGGTTTGCTAATTTTGAGAATAAAATTTTTTTCCTTCATAATTATGTAAAACTCTGACCATCAATTGTTAGAGCAACTCAAATATAATTATTGCACGTGGCAAAGGAATGTGTGAACGTCTAAAAATAACATTGGTAATGGCGGCGTAAATAAATATGCAGCTCAAATTACTTTTAACTTGCTTTTTCATGTCATTTTAGTATCAAAAGGTTATGAAAATGGCATTTTTAACAAGCACTCTTTCCAGCTATAACTTTCGAAGTTTAAAATATGGCGATAAACAAAAGAAATTGCATATGTCTCTAGATAATACTACGGTATGTACGTATGATAGCCAGGTTTCACCTGAAAGAAAAACTTATCAAAAGCCCATTGTGATGTAAAATATGCACCCCTTTCTCACAGAAATTTATTTTGAGAAAAAAGTGCATATAATATTCCGCCAAATACAGTAACAAGTTAACATTATCGTAAAATTTGAAATCTAGATATGTCTAGATTACCCATACATGCCAACTTTCCCGATTTTTTCGGGAGTCTACCGATTTTTAACCCTGTCTACCGCTTGTCTACCGATTAATTTTTTTCTCCCATTTCTACCGATATTTCGAAAATCCGGATTTTATTCCGATTCGCTTTGAATAATACAGTATTTCCGTGTGCAGAAAACATCGCTGTTTCAATGTTTATCGCTAGGATATCCGTTTATTGCCGCTGATAACAGGTAATCAACAAGGTGTCAACTGTGCTACCAGTCATTACAGAGGTTTTAATTGCTCCTGAACCTCATTAACAGTGTATTTTAACCGAGACAATTATGCCAGATGTGGAAATTTTAGAAATACACACGACACTGGATACAAACTGACGAACTTGTGAGAGTTCACACTTTACAGCAAACTTCGACATTATACGTATAAACCGGTTATAAAAGGTGTTCAAGTTTTGGAATATTGCATTCCTCACTAAATTATAATCTACTTCATGGAAAAGACACTGCCAAAATCCAACATGGAAAAAATGTGCCTGCAAGTAAAAACCATTAGGACTGCCCAGAGTGATTAAAATAAAAAGAAAGGAAAAGACCACGCATGCCTTTTGCAGACTTTGATTGAAAAAGTTAAAATGACTTCTTAATATTCCCTCTGAATAAGAAAAAAATAAATTAACAATATTTTGTATAACAGTACCTTATAAACTTTGTAATTTACCAAGGGACAATGAACAGTTCAGTTTATTTGTAAAGTTTAACATCCTTATTCATGTAATAATATGTTAACTATGTGTATCACGTTCTTTAAGACAGAGGGTATATTTATCTAAATATTAACATATTAAATAATTTTGAATAAAATTGTTTTTTTAAAAAGTTCAAATGATATTGTATTTGTGCTTTTATTTAAGTTGATAGAGAAGAAAACACTTTTTGAAGTAGTAATAATATATGATATAATTAAGGTAGAAGATTGATAATTTAGAAAAAAACAACCTAAAAAAAGTTATTTCACGACAAAATGCCGTGAATTAGGAACTTTTAAAAATGTCGTTACGCGCAATCTCCCCCAAGAAAATTTTCAAAAGTTGGCATGTATGATTATCAATGATATGTAAAATGGCCTACCATAACATTTGACCAAAACATCTAAACATGTCAAGGTACTGAGTTTAAGAGCTCTCTGGTTCTTTCTAAGGAAAGACGCTAACACTGGTATTCCCTCCTCCTAGATAAAAGAACAGTTAAACTTTTAAAAGAATCACCTGAATTCAATTTCTTAGCTATAGAAAATTTGACAAACATTTTTTTTAAATACAGAATTGCTCTTGTAACTGTTCTTATATATTAAGTTGCATAAAAATATATGCATTGAACACTTACCAATATTGGTTTTAAATCTATCTTTAAAGGTGATCTGCAATTTAAAAAAAATATGTGTACATCAGGTAAATACTGATAATGAAATATATTTTTTTCAATAAAAGAAATGTTATATTAAATTTAATAACATGTAACTACCATAAATCTGGAAATTTTTACATCGATTTTATTTTGCGAATTCAGGTCAAAACGGTGTTGATTAATTTTTACGTTTCAAAATTTTGCGAATTACCACTGCTTTGTTTACATTTTCTTATTGGTAATTTATTTTTAAGAAAAATATTTTTGCGAATGCAATGAACTCGCAAATTTGCTAAAAATTTATCTACAACAAAAATTTCCAGATTTACGGTATATTGATCTGAAATATCATCAAAGTAGAGTAAAAAGCAAGCAGATAAAAGACAAAACATTATTCAAAATTATTGAATACATTATTGAAAATTACAAGATGTTTCTAGCAAATCTTATTATTACTCAAAAATTTTAAATTTAATCTTATTACTTACCATTTAGCTTTTAAATTTCAATATTGCAACAGAACTTTATGTCGGCACAGGAGGAGAGTTCAATCAAAAGTCCTCAATATAAACAAATTTCCAAATTCTTTTCTTACCCTGCTATCATTGTGAGAGCTTTAACTGCTGTCAGTCTTGTTATTTCATTCTTTAATCGCTCAAGGAAGATGGGTAGACACTCTTTAAGCTCAGTAGTTAAGCTGTCACCCATATTACGGATTATTTGTCCCCTGTAAAAAAAAAATGCATATAATTATCTTTCTCATTTAAAGATTTTGCATTCTGACTGCCGAGAATTTTCTATGTTTTCCCCTATACAAGTCCTTGACTTGTGACCTACATGCATGAGATTGCCCTCTCCTTGACCTCCTGGTCTATGTCTGCGGCCCTCAGTCGTTTTAATGTACACTGGTACAGCTCCGGAACAAAGGGCTTGTGGTTAAACTGGACAGGGTTCTCTGTAATCACAAAATTCAGTTTATGTTCAAACTATGAAAAATGTATGCTGCAATGATAAAATCTTAAAATCACTAAAATAACATCTCGCTAAAAATAAATTACCAGTTTTTAAGGACAAATCGCTAAATTTGCGTCTCCCTAAAATTTCCACTTATAGGGCAATTGAAAAACCATCCTTTATCATAAAATTCTGTCATTTTATCATAAAATTGGCATATTAAAAATTTTCTCCATTTCAGGGTTAGACTTTTTGTGGAAGCCTTCTGAATGACATTTAATACATATTAAAATTGAATTTGTTTATCACTCTCATGAACACCTTTGTTATCTCTCTAGGCTTTACTGACACAATAACATTCTGTATATTCTCCCTTACCTAGAGGTCTGATCACTTTGACTAGCTGTTGTGTCACAAGAAGTGCTTCTGAAGTGATTTTGTAGAATGGATCTGATACAGCATGGACAATGGGCTAAAGAAAAAAAGTTTTAATAGAGACTTAATTTTGCTGATAAATGTGCACAATAAAATATACAATATTTAGTCCCAAATGAATATTTTCTATCTACAAAACTTTGGTTCTCTTGTCCAATAAAGTGTTTTTGTTTTACCAAATGAATAATGTTGTACAAAGTATTTTGTTCAATGAAACTATGATGTTCAGAAAATCTCAGTTTTGTTCAATGTGTAAAACTAACAGATTCTTTTAGATCACAAATGTTTAAAACTTCACTATATGTTTACACTGTCTTACCGGTACGAGAATTCTTATGTGGGGGAGAAAAACTGAAGGTTGGTGGTGAATCAGAATAGTGTTTAGGAAAGAAAGGGTGTCTATCTTCATGTTAGAACTGGAATTCTTGTCCCTGAAAGAAAAACAGAAACAGCTCTTAAATCTTCACTATTAACTCAAATCTGACAACAGATTCTTCATAGTGCATACAGGACTGCCACTGGTAAGTAAGGTATACATTTTCTATGCAAAATGATATATCCTGTTTATCTTTGATATATCATAATACTGTCTTTATTATCTAATGTATCCATACCCAAGTGAGTATATTATGCCGGGTACAAGTTGATCAAAGTGTTTGGCTAGTGCCCCAGGGAGAACCAGTACAAGTTCCGTCAGGAGACTAAAGCAGCCCTGCCTCGTCTTGACGCTCTTCTCTCTCAGCTGTTTGTGAATCGCCTTTATGATGTCAGGTATCTGTGTCTGTAGCATAGACACTGGCCTGTCAAAGATAACAGATCATTAAGTTAAGTATATGCAAAAAATTATATGAATAATACATGTACTTCAACAATTCTTTAAAGTGCATTATACAAGACTTATCAATATTCCTGTGGACAGGTATAGTTTCACTACAGATATCCTTTTTGAACTGATCTGAATCAAATAATCATTATCAAGGTAGAAGTCTCATCTCCATGACTAATATGACCCAATCTTTACAAGTACAAGCTCTAATGTTACCCTCCATCCTGTTCCATTGCATCAGGGTCAGCTGAGATGGACGGTCGTGTTTGTCTCAGTAATGTCACAAAGGCATGGAATATGTCTGCCTTTACATTCTCTTCTCTCTCTGAAAATATGCAAACATTAACATTACACTTGAAATAAATTACGTGATAACATCTCTAGGAGCATATTACATGCATCTTTTTTTTAACATTGATTCCTAGATAAAATTGTCAAACATTAAACACTGCCAACCAGTTACTTATCACAATAACTTTTATTTCCAATTTGTCAGTTTGAAATCAATCCAAAACTATATGCAAAGCTGACTCAGAGTGTAACATTTACAAACAAGAGGCCCATGGGCCACATCGCTCACCTGAGTAACTTGGGTGATGCAGATCTTTACCAGATTCCCCCTCTTGCTATACCTATCATGTCCAACAACCATCTTCCCTTTTTTATTTTAAAACTTTAGAATCTACACTTATCAAGGATGCTTCCACATAAGTTTCAGCTTTCCTGGCTCAGTGGTTCTTGAGGAGAAGATTTTTAAAGATTTGTTCTATATATTACTATGTAAAACTTGGATTTCCTAATGTGGCCCCGCCCTACCCCTGGGGGTCATGATTTTAACAATTTAATATCTACACTACCCAAGGATGCTCCCACATAAGTTTCAGCTTTCCAGGCCCAGTGGTTCTTGAGAAGAAGATTTTTAAAGATTTGTTCCATATATTTCTATGTAAAACTTGGATTCCCTATTGTGGCCCCGCCCTACCCCCGGGGGTCATGATTTTAACAATTTAGTATCTACACTACCCAAGGATGCCTCCACATAAGTTTCAGCTTTCCTGGCCCAGTGGTTCTTGAGAAGAAGATTTTTAAAGATTTGTTATATATATTTCTATGTAAAACTTGGATTCCCTATTGTGGCCCCGCCCTACCCCTGGGGGTCATAATTTTAACAATTTCAAATTTACACTACCCAAGGATGCTCCCACATAAGTTTCAGCTTTCCTGGCCCAGTGGTTCTTGAGAAGAAGATTTTTTAGTGACCCCACCCTATTTTTGTCTTTTCTTGATTATCTCCCCTTGTAAGGGGACTTGGCCCTTCATTTTAACAATTGAAACTCCCCTTCACCCAAGGAAGCTTTGTACCAAGTTTGGTTAATATTGGCCCATTGGTTCCTGAGAAGAAGATGAAAATGTGAAAAGTTTACAGACGGACGGACAGAACTACAAAATGTGATCAGAAAAGCTCACTTGAGCCTTCGGCTCAGGTGAGCTAAAAAGTGCCTTAATTTTATTTGACACAATTTTTAAACTACACATACATCCACGTATACCAAATGATGTAGCTGTTGACAGAATACTTCACACATGCTTTTTTCTATACTAAATGTCCTTTAAAATCACATGATTTTTCCGCTGACCTTTAAACCTTGCTATAAGTGCTGGTGACACAGTCCTGTAGAACTCCATTAACATCTCGTGTCGGGTTCCTATCACTGCATCCAGACATTTGGCAGCCGCTCGCCTGACCTTCCAACTCATGTCATCATCATCGCTGTATTCTTCATCTTCCTCCCTATAAACCATCTTCATTATCATCAAAAATTCAAAACATTAAGGTTATACCATATTAATCAAAAATATCAAAATAAAATTTTTACAGAAGTTTATCCTCATTTTCAAAGCCATTAAGAATCATTAAATAATTATTCTGGGTAAAAATAAACAGTGATAAAAATATTACTCTTCGTCCTCATCATCGCCTTCTGTTTCCATGGCATCATCATCATCATCATCGTAGTTATAGTTTGGGTCATGGCAAATATATTTCAAGCAGATCTTGATTATCTGTACATAAAAACATATCATATAATGCAATATCTACTTGCTGAAATACATGAAATTTTAAAAAGTGCTTTAGTTTAGACTGACCATACAAACAGTGCCTGAATTATTACCTCCTGAACAAATGGAGATATTTCTTTAGGACATCTTCGTACAAATGACTCAAATGCCTGCAGACAGTATTCCCTTAGTTCATCATCCTCCTCCTTACAAAACTTTACAATGGGAGGAACCATCTTCTCCAAGTGCTCCCCAAAACGATGACCTGCCTGTCGACTGTCAGCAAAAAAGTCAACATTAAGTGATTAACATGCTTCATAAGCTGTGTTAAAACATGCATCATTACAGTCTGCAGTGATTTACTGGCTCAAGGGCCATAAAATTAAGACAACCTCACTTTTTAACTCAAGTCTCATTTTTCCACTATATACTCCTTGAGTAAGAGTGAGACCAAGATCAAAAGTGGGCTCATCTAAGTTTTCTGGCCCTGGAGCCTGGTATCAAATTTTTTAGTTTTATACAAAGTTTTCAATACTCCACATCAGTAGCTTACAACTACAGGCCTGTCTCACCTGATAGCTCCAACACACTGTATGTAAGTCCTAGTGGTGGACGTCGAAGAGTTCTTGATCAGCTCAGTCAAGAGAAACTCAATCAGCTCATTAAATAATGTGTAATTACAGCTCATCACCAAATAACCTTTAATAGTACAAAACAAATCCTTATACTTATATTCAAATATGACTATGTTTACTTCATGTACAAAGCAGCGTTTTAAACGGATTTGAATGAAGGAATGTAAACTATAGTAAAACTCAGTTCTAACAAACACTGGGACCTATGAAATTAATTTGCTCTATCCTTAATTTGTTATATCCGTATAAGGAATTCCTTAAATTTATATAGCTGGAGATCCAATATAACTTAGCTACATTTGTACATCATTGAACTTGCAATATCCATGTTCGTACTAAACGAGTTTTACTGTACTGTCATGTTTGACACACATTGACTCACCAATAGCAATAATGGCCCTTTTTCTGACTGCCAATCTTGGACTGGCTAATTGTGGCAGTAAGGACTGCATGATGCTAGGATGAAAACTGATCAACAAGCCTGTGTAAAGAAAAGATACAGTATCTTGTAAATGCTCTCTCTTAGTATAAATCTACATAGCATCGTCATTATTTATAACATTCAAAACCTTTCAAGAATTTTAAACATGATAGAAATACTTCATAATTTACATATGATCATTTAGTACTACCTCCAAATCTGCTGAGAAGATCTCCAAGGATATCCAAAGCTTCTAACTGAACAGAAACATCTTCTTGCTACAAAAGGAATAAATCTGACAAGTTATTATATATATATATGGTGAAAGAAACAGAAAAACCTAAATAAACTGAACATCAATAATTTATGGACCAAAAAATATCTTCCTGTCAGTATGCACATCTCTGTACCATGTCTTATCATTAGTATAGTGTGTACTTACTTGGAGCATGACTTGCCTTTTATGTACTTCCCTGAAGTTTGTAGAGCATGCCTCACCTTAACCTGTATTAAGCCTTACCTGAGTGCATGTACCTATTATATCTCTTACCTGTATTATAAGTGTACTTACCAGTGACCTGTAGTTTGTCACACCTTTAGCACCTGTTAAACTTACCTTTGCTATGGCACTGGTCAGTCGTCCTGTGATTTTCTTACAGATGCTGGCCGCCAGAGCAGTGGAAGATGGAGGTAACTCACTTATCACAGTCTTTAAACCTACGGAAGAAAAATACACGTGTATCTAACGAATGAAATCCCTCTCAACTTTCCAAACTAAATGTAACAAAACCTTGTAAAGGAAAATTTCCCACATAGTTGCTACTTTTAGCCATAGGCTTATTAAACAAGTTTTGGTCAAAAAAGGTAGTTTCCTTTTGTGCCACTTGGTATAGATAATTTCATTAGATATTTTATTAATATCTAAAATGTAATTTTATTAAAGTTCTTTGGCATATTTTTGAAAATATTATATATAATTTCCCATGTCCAGATAAGCCCAACCCAAAAGGTCATGACTTATAAGTCTATCAAATGCCATATGTACATGTATTTGATCTGGACATACGTGTAGGACTCAATGTCTTTATTAAACTATGGTTACAAGAAGTAAATTTGCAAGTTATGTTATGGCTTATTGTCAGGGCTAGTAAAAATTTTGGAAAGTGCACTAGTCTAGTATACTTTAACAAGAGGCCCAAGGGCCACAGCACTCACCTGAGCACAATGGGCTTGAATTTAACACCACCCTCCCCCCCCTGGCATTCATCATTAGAACAAACTAGAATCTACACTACCTGAGGATGATTCCATATAAATATCACTAATCATAGCTTTGAAGTACTTGAAAAGAAGATTTTAAAAGGTTTCCCTATATATCCCTTTGTAAAATTTGGGTTGGCCATTTTGGCCCCACCCTGGCCCCGGGGGTCATGATTTGAACAAACTTGAATCTACACTACCTGAGTATGATTCCACATGAGTTCCATCTTTCCTGGCCCAGTGCTTCTTGAGAAAAGGATTTTTAAAGATTTTTCCTATATATTCCTATGTAAAACTTGGGTCGGACATTTTGGCCCCACCCTAACCCCGGGGGTCATGATTTGAACAAACTTGAATCTACACTATTTGAGGATGATTCCACATGAGTTTCGTCTTTCCTGGCCCAGTGCTTCTTGAGAAGAAGATTTTTAAAGATTTTTCCTATATATTTCTATGTAAAACTTGGGTCGGCCATTTTGGCCCCACCCTAGCCCTGGGGGTCATGATTTGAACAAACATGAATCTACACTACCTGAGGATGATTCCACATGAGTTCCATCTATCCTGGCTGAGTGATTCTTGAGAAGAAGATTTTTAAAGATTTTTCATATATATTCCTATGTAAAACTTTCAGCCATTTTGGCCCCACCCTAGCCCCGGGGGTCATGATTTGAACAAACTTGAATCTACACTACCTGAGGATGATTCCACTTGAGTTTCATCTCTCTTGGTCCAGAGGTTCTTGAGAAGAAGATTTTTATAGATTTTTCCTATATATTCCTATGTAAAACTTGGGTCGGCCATTTTGGCCCCACCCTAGCCCCGGGGGTCATGATTTGAACAAACTTGAATCTACACTACCTGAGGATGATTCCACATGAGTTTCATCTCTCTTGGCCCAGTGGTTCTTGAGAAGAAGAGTTTTTAAAAATGTCATTTATTTTTCACTAATTCATAATTATCTCCCCTTGGAAGCGGGCGTGGCCCTTCATTTTAACAAACTTAAATCCCCTTCACCTAAGGATACTTTGTGGCAAGTTTGGTTGAAATTGGCCCAGTGGTTCTTGAGAAGATGAAAATGTGAAAAGTTTAACGACAAACGACAGACAACGGACAAATTTTGATCAGAAAAGCTCACTTGAGCCTTCGGCTCAAGTGAGCTAAAAAGTTAATGTTGAACCCTGCAAAGAGTACTGACCAATGCTGGAAATGTCTCTGAGTTGTTCTTTGTCAGAAATCATGTTACTACACAGTGTGTCCACAATTGTCTCCACCTGAAACTCCTTTACTTTGTTCACCAATGGACCAAGACTGAAGAAAGGAACAATAATAAACTGTACTAGAATATAATGTACATGTATGAATGCATATTTTTTTCAATTTTATTATGTTCTTCTAATGATAATAAAAATAAATTGGAAATTTGTCAAATATTTCCTGTATATTCTATATTAGAGAGTTTCTGTCTATTTACCATTTTACAGCCAGGTTCTGAACTTCTCCATTTTTGTCCTCCAGTAGCTTTAGTAACATTCTAACAACCTGAATAAATATTTAGATACTGAAGGATTCATGTCTTCAAACACTACAATATACTTTTATTTTGAATGGCTACTCAGAGCAATAGCTTTCATTTTTTATAATCATATGACCTAAATATTTTTCTTCTTCCTTTTACTTTCCCTTTACCTGGATTGTCAAAAATTTCATTTTTTTGTTAACTATGAACTTTTAAAGAATGGACCTTTTTTCAGATTGCCTGCTGAATTCTTTAACAGATTAAACTCAAACATCTACACAAGGAAAATTAATGTGAAAAGTTGCATCTTGTTTAGTTTACTGTAAATTCAGATTTATTCTATTTTTCTTTAGTTTGAACTGTATTTAATTGTATAGCATTTGTTTACTGTCATATCAAGCTAAGTATCCTTTGCAATAGACTTCTTGCATTTTATCATTTCAAGATCCAGTTTATTGTTTGGTAATTTTTAAATTTAAATTTTAGTTTCATTCTTTCTCTATTTTGTCACTTCACCTTTCTTTCACTGTCATCATCCAGCTTAATGGAATCCTTCTGAAGCTCTGTCATCAAATCATTTGTTGCCATGAATCGAAAATCTTTGTCATTGGAGGTCATCTAAAAGATTAAAAAATAATAATATAGTAACAAATGTCAAATAATCAAAAAGATATATTCTGTACACCACTTTCAGTCACAGGACTAAATCATGCTAAGATATGCTATCAATTCTTTTCTTCTCTCAATCATTATTAGAAAGCTTATTAGGTAATGATAAGCTATAAGCAATGTCAACATAATTATGCCATATACACAATGTCAGCTTCTTTATATACATGCCATAATACTTATCATTACATAATACAATTTTTTCCTTAGAGATACTATACCATTGAAGTTGGCTTTTGCATATTATTTCAGCATATATCGGGAAGTATGCAGAATTTCAGAATGAACTTTGTTATTAAATAGTTTATATTTCAATGTCGAAAATAAGCTGCATTTGAAAGGAAATCCATATCTTATCTTTTTATGCCCTATTTTTTTTTTTTTTTAGTTAGAATTAAAAGAATATAAAGGTCTGTACAGAAGTTAGAGTTCTAAATGGAATCTCGGTTCATACCCATTTTCGAAACAATAAACCACCCATTTGGACTTGTACATAGTCCCTATTGAAATATATGATGAATGCAGTGAAAAAAAAATATATGATATGTGCAGAATTTTGTACGTGTGCATCACATTTCCCAAATGTTATGTGAAAATCTTTCTCTCTCCATAAAAACACAGTAATGTAACTTTGTAGGATATAGAAATCTACATTCATTCACCTTCTCCAGCAGGTTTGCAATGTGATACGAGACACTAGCCATTTTGCTGTCTTTATTTCTTACTGCACCAAGTCTGCTTAAAGGACGGAATGTCCCGATTTAAGTTTACTTGTTGATATTTATCCCGGTGCAAAGTTTCTTCTTTCGGCAAAATGAAAATCATGCGTAATATATGGCAGCTTTCAAGCGCCACCTATATTGAAATACCGATCCCGACGCCATTTAAATTCCCTTGGATCAAGAAATATTTTATGGAGAAGTCCTATTTGTGGTCTATAAATAAAAATTCAGTGGCGTAGCTTTCTTCAGTTTGTTTGCATTTGTTGTCAAATATCACAAGAGTTGTGATTAGGTATTTTTGAAAATTAAAAAAAAATTATTTCTTTTTGTTTCGTGCACCTATAGGCACCTGACGTTACTTATTTCTATTTTAATAAAAAAAATATACCCCTACCCTATCTATTTTTTTCTTTTAATAAAAATGATATTCCCCTACCTAAGTCAGGTATCCGTATTTTCATGCTCTAAAGATTACATTAAGAATGAAACCTCGCCTTTTTTAAAAGATAAGATTTACTCTTTACCTGTATGCCCTAATGGACCCCAAGTTGGTATTCATGAATTTTATATTAAACCCTTCAAATAATCTATGTCTTTGCTTTATCATGAAGATTAAGAAATAGTCTTTGAATATTAATTTTAGGCCATTCATTATTTTTTTTTAATGTTTTATATTTTTTCATGGTAATGAAAAGCTAAATTGATAAAAGTTAGAACCACTTAAAATATAAAATAAGTCAAACAGTATTTAATACGTTTTTTAAAAGTATAAGATACAACAACAGTCTGGCAATGCTATGTATAACAGTTTCTACATTTAAAAAAATACTTTTTATATACCCCCCCCCCCCCCCCAAGTTATCAACCCCCAGCTAGGAAAATTATATATATGCCGCTTGCGATTGACCAGCTGGATACTTTAAGGGTCCAAATCCCCTTTCAAATCTTTTTACCAAATTCTAAAGTTTTATTTCAATTTCAATTTCTTTATTGATTCACCAAACATGTTGGCATACAACCATGTTACATATAAAAGACAAATAATAAAATACATACATACATGTAAGTGTATGGATCAGTGAAGTCAACTATGCAGAGTATTACAACTTGAAGTTTAAACATAATCATTACGCAAGCAGTATAGTATGGACAGTGATGAGCTAGTAAATGCATTAAATATATAAATTATAATTGCGCTTTATTTTTGGAACGCAATTCAAAACATTCATATAAAAATTCACATAGCCTTCTAGAATGAACTGCATTGTCAGGATTACAAAATAATTTACAATGATTTTCTTTCAATATGTTATCGTTTAAATTACAGATGTTCAAAGGACAGTACTTTTTTCGTAAATCTGTATATAAGGGACAGTCATATATGAAATGTATTTCACTTTCTACAACAGTTTTACAATAGTGACAAAAACGCGATTCTTTTGGGATACAAGGCTTTGAATATCTGCCTACTTCAATTTCTAATGGATGTGCAGAAATTCTCAGTTTTGTTAATTTAGAACGTATTGCTTTATTTATTGGATATTTTAAGTAGTCTTGTAATTCATAATTCTTTCTAATTTGACTGAAAAATAATAATTTACCACATTTGTAGAATTCAATGTTCTGAAGTTGCAAATTTACATTTTTTATGTAAAAATTCTTCAAGCAGCTGCTGAATGTGTTATCAGTTATATCTAATGATGGAAGGTTAAGTTTCTTTTTTAATTTATCAATCTGACTTTGCCAATTATCCTTTACACCATTACTATATAGGTTGTCATCTTCTAAGGAAGCAGCAATAAGAATTTGATTTCTAGTGCCATTTTTATTCTGAACATTTTTTAGTCTCTTATAGTATTTAAACATTGAGATGATAGCTTTGCAACAAATAGGGACTGTTCCTAGCTCATATTTAATGGCTAAATTTGAAGTTGTACACCCAAAATATCTTTAAATATCAAATGCTGTATCTTTTCAAAAGGTAATTGATCACAATTGTTTATATTAATATTAAAGTTGAAATCCATATCAGAACCATACAAAATGATAGGTTCAATAAGTGAAGTATATAATTTTAAAAGAGTTTTTACAGATAAGTTATTATGAAAAGGTAAAGAGCGTTTCATTGCATAAAAGCTTTTCTTGCACGTTCAGCTAATTGTTCAGCTGCATACTTAAGCTTACCATTATAAGTAAAAATAATTCCCAGATATTTATATTCATGTTCAAGATGAACTATTCAGTGGCGTAGCGCCCTTTACGCAAAAACGCAAATGAATACACAGATTTTTCACCAAAAATAAAAAAATAATAATAAAAAGCTAAATAAGAAAAAAAAAATGTCGAAAGTTCAATAAAAGACTAATATAAAACAGGTTACAATAAAATATATAGATTTTTCTTTATATTCCTACGTCCTAAATATAATGGAATATATATTCAGCTTCAATTTCAGATCCTTGATATACAGTGTACATATCGTTTTATAAAATGATTTAAGCATTTCAAGGACAATTTTTTTATTGTGTCAATTCAAAGCAAATTTAAAGTAAATAATAATTCAATCTAGTATGTTGTTTACGAATTTATTCCCCTAATAATCTCCAAAACATTGTTAACTGCGTTGTACTAGTACTATAATTTCATAACAATCTCGAAAATGTAACAATTGAAGAATATTCAGGTTTTTGTGTTGATATACAGTTATATAGAATTCATTTTGCAAAAATGATTAACAAAAATCTTACTTGTGAAATAAATTTTATAGCAACTACTAAAACATTGAATTTATTGTATATGAAATTTTCCAAGGTTTTCTTGCACAAGTCCATAACTAATTTTCTTTCGTCAGTAAATCTAAAAATAGTTTTGCAGTAATATGATCTTAAAGTTTCTACACAATGGAAAAATGTATATACATTTTAATAAGAGGGTGTATTTTGAATGTTAAGTAAACTGGAAAACTATCATTTGAAATTGATCAAATTAAAGCTGACATTTTCTTTCATGTAATACTGTGCATTTTGATTGTTATTTTCACACTGCATGGGGAAAAAATAATTGTGAAAATATCAATAATATGAAAAAAAAAATCAAAATATCAATTATATCATCTTCACAAAATCAAGGTTTTGAGATTTCGGAACTTCACACATATGCAAGATTTTCACTGTTGAAAAATGCATTGTCTTATTTCATGATAACAAGAAAACTTCTTAAAAAGAGAAATTGGGGAATTATAAGTATTATCAAAACTCGGCAATTTTTATTAAGATTTAGTAGAAATACGATTGTAAAAATTAAACTATTTTAAGGTATTTTTCTGATGTATAAAATTTATATTCATGACCCCTTGCCTTTTTGAATACAGAAAATATTTTGCTAGCTACGCCACTGCTATTGAATGATTATAATAAAAACAATATTGAGTTGTGTCAATTTTCTTATTTGAGAAAATCATTGCTTTAGTTTTATCAGAGTTAACAGTTTATTTGCAAATTTTCTTTGCGGTGAATTTGGATCCCCTCACCACCACCACCATAAAACAATGACATTACAGAAATAGCCAATAGGACTTCTTGTTCAAATGGTGTCATTAAAACATCTTTATCTATTACCTAGCTGTTTTTATCGTTTCAACTTTGAATAGATGAGCACGTAGTATAATAAGACTCATCGATTCATTTTCGTGAGACGCCCCTTGGATCATAAATAAATTTAGATCCGCCAAATTATGGGGACTAGCAAAGCTAAACTAGTTCTCTTCTGCATTAGGACTCTCGTGTTATTTTTTAAGTTTTTCAGATTCCCACATAAATAATTTATTAATATCAATTTACAAAACCAACTTCCTCCCTTTCATTCATTGAAAAACCTGTGTGAAAAATTTAACAATTATTAAATATGCACTTCCGGCAGGGTGTAGCCATCTTGTTTTAACTGTCATCAACGGTTGCGAAAAAGATTTGAGAAAATGGAGATATTCAAAAGAATATCTCAACAAAAGACAAGGAATAAGCCCCACATATATAGTTAAGAAGAACATATATATTTTTTAATCTTAAGATTTAGGTAAGTAAGATTTTATTGAATATGTGAGCGGTGTTTATTTTTAGATTTTCATGATTAGAAAAACACTTTGATGTGAAAATAATTAATTGATCACAAATTCTTGGTTTGAAAAGTGGGTTATTATTTTAATGTTTATGACGCTATAAATAAAAAAAAAAAACATTTTTCCAGGGTAATTTTGTATTTCAATGTTTTGGAATTATAGGCCTTACAAAGTTAGTAGTTACATCGTTTCGTTCCATTTATGGACTTAAATTCCTGAGAAAGATTGTAACTTATGTAAGCATCTGAGTTGGTCTGTTATCTGTATTTACATGCAAAGAGAGGTTTTATCAGGTTGGGCACACACCACCAAATGGTCATTTAACCCCGTTTGGTGGTCAATCGCCCATATCAGCGTCTTTAATATGTTTTACGGTGTGACCGTTGGGGCGAGCGCAGTTATTTACTGTCAAAAACCTTTTCACAGCTTTTACTTGCACTGCCTACCCTCAGTTCATGAAAAAAAGAAAAGAATAAAAAGGAATCACTTCTCAGGCGTCGGGACTTTTCGGAAGTTTCCGACAAAATCGGAAATACCCGAGCCGTTAAGTGACGAAAGTATGACGTCATATAAAAAGTCCTGTTGACTTAGAACGCAAACTATAGTTTTGTGGCATGGATATTGCATTAAATCGTTGTTTCTAATTTTTTTCAAGTAAGGCCGGAATTAAAAATATCTTTGTTTCCCCTAACCCGACCCTTAATTCTCAAGTTGGGTCGGTAGGTAGGTAAACAATTTTATTTTTCTGACAGCAGCTTTGAAAATATATCATAAAATTAAATGGAAAATTACCTTTGAAAATGGAAAAGTACAAAAGAAAGCGATTTGTAAACAAAATGCTAAGTATCATACATATGCCGTTTTAATGCAAAATCCATGATTAATTAATTCACAACTGTTATTCAAGTGAACTTGTGAACCATCTTACACCAGACTACATTTATATAACTCGAATAAAAAAGACAAGATTCTCAAATACGCAAAAACCTGGCATCCGAGTATATTTTTTCAAACCTTCCATCAGCCTCCAGTGCTTGTAGACAATCAATGTACTTTTTTGAGGGCCATGGTATTTGATAGTGAGTTACGATAGAGCCTTTTCGTTTAAAGGAGTTAAGGCGACAATCGATTGTAAATATTTCATCGATAAATCGCTATAGAGAAGCCGTATTTTTGAAGGTTTAACTTTTAAATTCAAAAGGGACGTCATGAAAACCTCGGCGGTAAACAAAATGGGGAATGTGCATGGTGAAGAGGTTCCCGCCTGCTTATAGCTAAAGTGTGCTGCAACACGATCTAAAGTTTGGAGTTTTTTTTGGCTTTCGGAAAAAGGGAAATGGCCCTCCATGCAAAAATAATTTACAGATGGACACGGTTATTTGTAAATTGTGTAAAAAGTTGTATGCCAATAAATGTAAATTGAAGTTCGTGGTCACATGTCATGCAATTCTACTCGTGCTGTCAAAATTTTAATGAATAAATGTTAATTAACAATATTTAATTGATTATATAATCGAATCTACACATGATAAAAATCTATATAAAATTCATAGTCACGAAGTTTACAATAACTAAATAAAGGCATAGAAAGGCCATCTGAGTTATATTTATCAGGCTAATTTTAAGTCGCAGGTTTTAATACAACTCCTATGGTTCCATGATGGCATAGATAAACTGGTTATTAGATCAAAACTCAAATAAAATGCAGTGAAATTGAATGATGTGTTCACTAGGTGGGCCCTTCATCTACTCATGAGGCGGGCCTTACCATGTAAATACGTACCTTAAATTCAAAGACATGTTTGTTTTTTGTTGTTATCAATCTACTACCTTAATTAAATCATATATTATTACTACTTCAAAAAGTGTTTTCTTCTCTATCAACTTAAAGAAAAGCACAAATACAAATCATTTAAAATAAAAGGCAATTTTATTCAAAATTATTTAATATGTTTAAAAGTGAAGATATGTCGAAGAAGTGATACACAAAGTTAACATACGTACATAAAATCGTCATTGTTTTATGAAGAGCTAATGCCCTGTAATCACATCTGGACGTAATTTTATTTCCAACAAATGCTTCAAAATCGCAGTGGAACAATGTCGGCCGTTCTGATAAAAACTGATTTTGATGAAATTGTATTTTATCAAACTTGGTTAACTAAAAAAAATATTTGAATCATCTTATTTAAAAAATCTTTTCACTTGGGCACATTTTTTATGTTGGATTTTGGCAGTGTCTTTTCCATTAAGTAGATTATAATTTAATGAGGAATGCAAAATTCCAAAACTTGAACACCTTTTGTAAACGGTTTATATGTATATTGTCAAAGTTTGCTTATGCGATGTAACTGCTCCAGTTCGTCCGTTTGTATCCAGTGTCGTGTGTATTTGTAAACAATCTTTCAAAATGCTACTCCTAAAATACACTGTTTTGGTTCTGATTTCAATATAACTTGGCACACAAGCACAGTTGACACCTTGTTGATTACCTGTTATCTGTGTATCGGTTTTTGATTTTGAAACAGGTGTTGCACCGAAATACTGTATTATTCAAAAATAGAAATTTCTGTGAAATTCTTTCAAAATGCTACTTCTCCTACAGTTTTGGTCTAATTTCAGTATAACTTGGCACATAAGTAGACTACACTAAGATACATAATTCTCTTTATCGGTTTTTGATTTCGATGAACGGTGTTGCCGTGGTTACTAAAAATAGAAATTTCTGTGAAATTCAAATCTTCAAGGGCCTAATACAGAAAAATACACTTCTACATTTTTGAATCCTGATTTCAATATAATTAGCACACAAGTATGACTACACTATTTAATTGAACCAAACTGTTTATCAATTTTTGCTATATACAAGAACGGTGTTGTCGTTGTTGCTAAAAATAGAAATTTCTATGAATTATTCTTTCAAAATGCTACTCCTCCTACAGTTTTGGTCTGATTTCAATATAACTTGGCACACAAGTAGACTACACTAAGATACATAATTTTGTGTATTGGTTTTTGATTTCGATTAACGGTGTTGCCTTGTTACTAAAAATTGAAATTTCTGTGAAATTCTTTCAAAATGCTACTCCTCCTACAGTTTAGGTCAGATTTCAATATAACTTGGCACACAAGTAGACTACACTAAGATATGGTAATTTTATATCGGAATTGTTTCGATGAACGGTGTTGCCATGGTAACTAAAAATAGAAATTTCTGTTAAAAAATCTCAAAAAGCTACTCCTCCTACAGTTTTGGTCTGATTTTAATATAATGTGGCATGCAAGTAGACTATGCTAAGAACATAAAGAGACTTGATGAAATCATTATTCTTTTTATTGGTTAACTAAAAAAAATATTTGAATCATCTTATTTAAAAAACTTTTCTCTTCCTTTGCTATAAGTACAAACCAGTAGAGCTTCAGTCTCGACAGAGACTTCTGGTTTATTTTGGCCTAAGTTGTTGCTATGTTTTAGCCACCATGTTGCTATGCACCGCAAAGGATTATTGGGAGTTTGGAATTTTTTCACGCGGTGAGATAAAAATTTCTTGGAACAATGTGCAGATTTCAACCCGAATTTCCTCCCTTCGTACACGTTAGTCTATTGAGCTCGCTATATGAGCGGCGCTTTGCGCCGCCTCGCTGCGCTCGCTATTACCTACCAAATGGGAGAGAAAAATCGTTTTGTTCAGTTCTCTGGAATGACGTGAAATGGCGCATAATTTCAACTCACGGGGAACTCACAGAACAAAAAAAATCAGAATCTCAACGCTGACTTTTTTGCGCAGTGGTTCAAATATTGGACAAAATCGTCACCTATGTAAACGTCAAGTGTAACGTTTCTGTGTTTTAACTTAAAAAGAAAAATTCCCTCCATCTGGCGTGTAGTTGCACCTATCGATCGTGTTTATCACTTCATATTTTTGTCATCTGGGCAACCGATCAATTATCTAAACCAATTAAAATTAATAATAAAATTAAAATCTAATACAATTTTTTCCGAACTTGGGTCAAAAGACTGAATTAACTACGGAGACCCATTAGTGTTAATTTTCAATAAGTAAAATAAGAGGAAGGGTAAGAATTCGCTTTTATTTCGTTTATTTCGTATGCAATGGCTTTATTCTTTATAAAAATTCTCCAGTGCCTAAGTAAATGCACTTTTGCTTTATTTTACTAAAAATTGGATTTGAATAAAAAAGGCCGCCATTGGTAGGTGAAAAAGACGCCGATATGGACGATTGATCATCAAACGGGGGTTAAATGACCATTTGGCGGTGTGTGCCCAACCTGTTTATTATAAAAAATATCTATTTTGATAATTCAGACAATGTGCAGTGTATGTTTACATGCACTATCATTTTAATGGATTCTTGTAAGGAAGATGGACATTTAAAAGATGTTCCAGTGGAAAACATTAAAGAATAAACGTATCAGTAAAATCAGTTTTCAGTGTAACGAACATGGACAAAATAGTGTGCCAATGCCTCTTGTGAAACAAATAAGAAGATAAAATATTAATCTAAGCTATAGCAGAATTTCCTTTTATATTTCAGTTAACAATAGTGCCACAATTCACAATATTTATATTTGCTGTGTTTTTCTAGTGAGCCTGTTGTGAAATTCATTAGGCCATAATAAAAAAAATTCCCAGACTCTCATCCAATTTTTTTTAAATAATCAAGGCGGGCAGGTTTATATATTTTTTTCCATTTTGCAGAATTTTTATCGACCTGGTCAATCGGTGCAGACTGATCTATTATACCTGAATAAAAGTCATAACAGAGGTCCATTTATCTCACTACACATCATCAGCTTTCTTAAGAACCAATGACCCTTGTTTAATATATATTATAGCAATTACCATCTTTTCGGAAATTTGCAAGCGTACTTAATATAAATGTAAAATTAAACCGACATTGGCGATTCCGCGGAATTATGACCTCGCGGAAAAAAGTACTTCTACAGTATTATAGCAATTACCATCTTTTCAGCTGTAAAATTAAACCGACATTGGCGGGATTTGAAACGAAAGTTGAATGGTAGTGGAATAAAGATCTCGATCAGAATTCAGACAAAGAAAAAAAAAAACGGGGAAAAAACTGAGGTGGGGTATAAAAAATCAGGGCATACGGGGATGAGAATCTAAGAATATTTTAATTATGTCCTTAATTGATTTGAATACCATTTTTGTGTATACTCCCTTGTAGAAATAAACATGGAGCAACTCATGCTAATATGATGCAGCAATTTTTTTTTCATCCATTGGGAAAGGGTCCAATACTGGTTCAGTTGGGAAAAATAATGTCCAAGAAGAACAAAGGAGAATTTTCTCTCATTTTATCAAATGAAACATATTTTGCATACTTTGCAGACTTTTAAAAGTTTATGATGGATATGTGTCAGTAGAGGGATATTGGAACTGGAAGGCTGTTGAATACTTCACCAAAAAGAAATCTCAGGGATTTTCCCCTGCCCTGTATAGGAAAGAATATGGGACCCATTCCCAATTGCAAAACCCTAGCTTCCATTCTCCCAAAAAGTGAACAGTATGTGTTCAATTTTTGAATGCACAAAAACTCCACAGACTTATCTTGATCAAAATTCATGTAAAACAAACATGGTCAGGTTTGAAATCTAAATGAAATGAACAAAATTATCAATTTTATTCATCACAAGTGTTTATTTTTTTATAAAAAAACTTCATGCAGTAAAATTTACCACAAAGTGAAAAATTGAAATTCATAATTTCTAGGAAATAGGAAAGCTTATTTGGCGTATGGCTAATTACAAGTCATGCTGAGGTAGAGCTTTTAACAATCCAGTTTGTTTAGGATGGACATTTTCTATTTATGCTTCCATATTGAAAATAAATTGCCAAGATTTTCCAGATTCATTCACAAATACACAACATGCTTAAAATTTAGACTACATGTTTGAAATTCCTTTGGAAATTTTTTTTATTACTTTATCATGTTTATGTAACAATTTTGAAACAACATGTCTCATGAGTTAAGCATCCTGGTGTTTCTATTTATACATTGCAAAATAAAGAAATTAATTATAAATAGAAGATAAATACAGAAAAATAAGACAGAACTTTACAGAAGTGAATATGAAAAACAAGTAGTAAAAATAAGTGTATATTATGTTTGTGATCATCTGAGTGGAATTGTTTTTATGTACCCTAAAGCAGGAAATATTAAAATATTATCCTGGGATTAGCAGATGGGAAAAGGAGCTAATTATGTTAACTTACTTGATAGGTTTTAGTCCAACCAGATTTCTTTAGTGTGATAATTGTTAAGAAAAAAATTATTTTAATATTTGAGTATAGCCAAACAAGGAATGAAGTGTACATGTCTAACCATCTAACCAGTCTACTAAAACTTTTTTTGAGAAATGGACAGCGATGGAATATATCACAGTTATATATTTATTGTCAAATTCCATCATACATTGCAATATATCACAATAATTTTTTTAAGGGAACATCCACACTTATGTACATATCAGAAGTGGTGAAGTACGTCATCTGGAACAAAAAAAACCCAGTTAGAAGTTACTAAGAACTCACTTATAAAGAAAACTCATATACTTGTACATGTTGTAAGGATGTTTTAATAAACAAGACTTTTCCTTATGTTTCTGTTACATGTACGATAAATGAATGTAAAGAATCTTGGTTTTAAGGAAGTAAAATTTCAGGTCCCAGTGACTTGGTTGTTTTTTTTATCCTAAATTTATAGTATAAGTGCTTTTTCGTTCTCAATATCCTGTTTAAGATAAAGATGTATATTTGGGATTTTCCTTTGTGTTGTGCGTAACACTTTAACCACATTCACATTAACATGATTAAGCTGCCTATTTCAGTTCCTGGAATACTGGATACAAAGTTACAATTATTGTACCAGGGGTTAAGCCATTACTTCAATTGTTGAAATTCTGCATATTGAAGTGTGTAGAGGCAGTGATATTTGTTTTCACCATTTGATTACATTCATCATGTTCATGTGATAAATTTAAAGCAGTTTGTTCATCGTAATATGCTAGCCATTTTTAATTAACAGACATCATTTCTAAGGAGGGGATTTTAGAGATTATAAGTGATTGTACGTGAACATGGATTGCCTCTCATTAAGTGCCAGAGGTGTACCAATTACAGGAAATGAGAATTTCTTTCAATATGAATTATGTGATGGGATATTATGCACTGTGTTTCATAATGTTTATTATTATTACAGGAAATAATATCCATTGAAATGAAAAAGAGAGATTCAGAAGGAGTACATGCAGTGTCAGCCATGTCGGTTTCGTCCGGTAATTCCCGGGGTTCGGAGCGCCGGAGACTCAGTCGGTTTTCTCTCAGACGACTGTTTTATCCTGGAGTTAGGACTGGTAAATCCAAGTCCAGGATCAGTTTAGACTCGGACTCTGGTAAATCTGAGATGAGCTTAAGTCCAGCTTCCTCAGAAAGAGAGCCAGCCCATCCGGTTCACATCATGAACCAGACTGTACCGGAGACTGAGCATGTGCCGGTGAAGAGTTCGGCGTCGGGAATGAGGGAGTGCCCCCTGTGTTTGATAGAGCGACCGGTTGAAGATTTCCCAGAAATCATGACATGCCACCATCGGTCCTGTAGCACCTGTCTGCAGACATATCTAAAAATAGAAATCACGGAGAGTCGGATCAACATATCCTGTCCGGAGTGCACGGAGAAGTACCACCCTAACGACATACAAAACATCCTCCCGAACCAGGGCCTGATGGATAAATATGAGGATTTCATGGTCCGGCGAGTCCTGGTCTCGGATCCCGACACTCGCTGGTGTCCAGCCCCAGACTGTGGGTAAGAACCAGTCTTGTATATTTACTAATTTGACTGTTGTTTGATGTAGTCTGAGGTTTATTAAACTATTTCATATTTAAATAAATTTCTACACTGGAATGACTAAAACCATTGTGATGAGATATGATTTGTAGCAAGAGGTCATTGATGTGTATAAGGCTGAGTTCATCGCTTCATGTAATGTAAAAAAAAAAAAAAAGAAATTTGTTATTAACAAAGTGCATGCAAGAAATATGCCATGAGCACTAGATATAATGGCCTCTAAATGGTTTGTCAGAAAAAGAAATCATTTATTTATCATTCCAATCACTTAGATTATAAAAATTGGCTATATCAATTGTCAGTCTGATGTCCACAAATCAAAGTGGCTTGATGGATCAATTCCTATATGTATCCTTTCATCTGATCCCTGTGTGAATACTCATTTATATAGAAAAATCAGATTTGTAGCCCTGGATATTATTTGAATAGTTAATCCCAGATGATATTATAGGTCATTTACTAGAGGAAAAAAATAATGTTCTGCTAAATGTTTTGGCCATGGGACATTTTTGTTTTCTAGAGAAAAGTTCATTTTTAGCTCTACTGGTCAGAGACCAGAAGAGCTTATGCGATAGTAATGCGTCCGTCGTCCGTCCGTCTGTCTGTCTAGCTGTCTGTCTGTCCGTCTGTCTGTCTGTAAACAATTTTTCAAAATGCTACTCCTCCTACAGTTTTGGTCTGGTTTCAGTATAACTTGGCACACAAGTAGACTACACTAAGATACATAATTCTATATATCGGTTTTTGATTTTGATGAACGGTGTTGCCGTGGTTACTAAAAATAGAAATTTCTGTTAAATTCTTTCAAAATGCTACTCCTCCTACAGTTTTAATCTGATTTCAATATAACTTGGCACACAAGTAGACTACACGAAGATACACAATTCTCTGTATCAGTTTTTGATTTCAATGAACGCTGTTGCCGTGGTTACTAAAAATAGAAATTTCTGTGAAATTCTTTCAAAATGCTACTCCTTCTACAGATTTAGTCTGATTTCAATATAACTTGGCACACAAGTAGACTACAATAAGATACATAATTCTGTGTATCGGTTTTTGATTTCGATGAACGGTATTGCCGTGGTTACTAAAAATAGAAATTTCTGTGAAATTCTTTCAAAATGCTACTCCTTCTACAGTTTTAGTCTGATTTTAGTATAACTTGGCACACAAGTAGACTACAATAAGATACATAATTCTGTATATCGGTTTTTGATTTCAATGAACGGTGTTGCCGTGGTTACTAAAAATAGAAATTTCGGTGAAATTCTTTCAAAATGCTACTCCTTCTACAGTTTTAGTCTGATTTCAATATAACTTGGCACACAAGTAGACTACAATAAGATACATAATTTTGTGTATCGGTTTTTGATTTCGATGAACGGTGTTGCCGTGGTTATTAAAAATAGAAATTTCGGTGAAATTCTTTCAAAATGCTACTCCAAATACAATTTTAGTCTGATTATAATATAAATGTGGCATGCAAGTAGACTGCACTAAGAATATAAAGAGACTTAATCAAGGATCATTATTCTATTTATTGCTGTTGAAAAGTTTCAATTTCCAACTGCTTAAGTACTTTTCTCTTCCTTTGCTATAAGTACAAACCAGTAGAGCTTCAGTCTTGACAGAGACTTCTGGTTTGTATCATCATGATCATAAAAAAGAAACAATTGTCATATATACAGATACAGGCTTATACAATATGAAACAATTCTTTAGTTTTACTGAAAGCAGGGAATATTTTCAATTTTGGGTTGGTATGGGTTCTTGGAGACATATATGAAACAAATTCATTGGTGGACAATTTTATAAATAGGTCTTTGAGCTTTGGCAATGAAAGTTCATATCACAGCTCCTAGTCTCCTTATGGCATGTCGATTTCAAGGTCAAAAGTTAAAGGTCAGAAATCATACATTGTAAAAAATGGTTTTTAGATTATAATTTTACTCAACCCTCTCTGCTTCTCCTCACTGTCGGTGCTCGAGGCCACTACAAAGGATTTCAATCTCCCTGGGACTGCAGCTACTCAAGGTGCTGTCCTCATGGTCAAACCCCTACTGTTTAGGTCTTTGAGGACAGTACTTTTCCAGCTTTCCTCTGGCCAGCCTCTATTTCTTTTCCATTGGGTGTCCACGGTAGGGCAACCCTGCTCATTATTAAATGATTAGGAATTTTGGTGCTCTCTAATTGGTCTAGACGCCTTTTCCAGAGATGTACCACAGAGTGAGTTCACCTCATTTGAGGTTTATTCGGGTTTTCCCTCTTGACCAACCATAGATTTGCTGACAGGTTTTTTGACCAATCAGATTGCGTGTTTCAAAGCATGTGTCGGTGTGAATGTAAACATGTCAGATGCCAGTACCAAGGAGATTAAATGCTTTTGAAAGTAAATGGTTTAGTATTCATTGTTTAATAATATTGTTTTTCAATTTTTAACTACTAGTTGTTAATTAGATAAGTCATGACAATTATATTATAGGTGTTTATATTTGATGGAGACAAGATTGAAAGTGTCAAAAGTGTTGTAAAATTCCTGATCATTTAATAAAACCGTTATTGACTTTTGAATTGGTCTACTCGTGACTATACAGATTTGGTCAGGGATTGGTTAACCTCGGCCTCCGGCCTCGGAAACCAATACCTGACCAGGTCTGTATAATCACGGGTAGACCCTGGTCAGGAATTGGTTAACCTCGGCCTCCGGCCTCGGTCAACCAATACCTGACCAGGTCTGTATAGTCACGAGTAGACCTCATCAAAAGTCAATGATTGTATACAGTACCTCTAGTTCCATAATTTAACCGTATTATTCACTAAATGTTTTCACCATGCAGAGAGAGAATTTTTTTTGTGGCAACAAGAAATTCTGGATTAGGGACCGCAATAATTTAAGGTCGACATTTAGTGATTTCGTAGCAGGTGTGACTTGAAGATCTTAGTTGTTAAACATGTAGATCAATACACTCCCCATTTTTACAGTGAATCTGATGTTGTTCATAACATCTATTTTTAGTTTAAATCTCTTTTATGCTACATGTGTTTTGTGTCACGTCATTACTGTATTTTTCTGTTCGTCACTAGTATAATCCTTATTAATGATCCTGCATTAAATGCCAAAGGGAAAGGTTTAGTAAAAAGACGTTATGATGTACAAATATAACATCACAGGCAAAAGAATGCACATGACTTTGGTGATATTTTCAACTTTTAAAACTTGAAATCCCCTCTAAAAATGAAAGATGAAACAATTTGAATATTTAATATTATTTTTGTTGACAGGTATGCAGTGATTGCCACAGGTTGTGCAGGGTGTCCCAAGATTAAATGTGAGAGGCCAGGATGTGACACACACTTTTGTTACCACTGTAAACAACACTGGCACCCAAACAAGACATGTGATGCGGCCAGGGCAGAAAGGTCACCCAACATGCGCTCTGCCACAACAACTTATGGTCCTGACATGGAGTTACATAACAGTACGTGTCCCTCGTGTTTTATCCAGCTCTTAATTAAAGACAAATGGAAGGGCCTTCTACAGGCATCTAAGACCACGGTCTAATCCTTTTTATGCTGTCCATTGGAATACATGTATTTTTATATCTTAAAAAAATATTTTTTAAAAGATTTTTATAAGCTAAGATTTTTATTATTATTATTATTTTTTTTTTTTTTACATTTTTATGAATAAAAAATTGCATTGTACTCTTGAAAGTATATTATTGAAAAATACTAAGTGAAATTCCATGTAAATCTACAAAATGCTGTTTATTGATTTTTTAGGTCACCTGAGTAAACTCAGGTGACCTATTGCTATCCGTTTTCGTCCGTCGTCGTCCGTCGTCCATCGTGTGTTAACATTTGAACATTTTCAGCTTCTTCTCTGCAACCACTGCACCAATTTCAACCAAATTTGGCACAAAGCATCTATGGCTAAAGGGGAACAGAAATTGTGAATTTCATGATCCCTGCCCCCCTGGGGCCTGAGGGGTGGGGCCAAAACCACTAAAATTAATGCAATCTTTAAAAATCTTCTTCTTTACTCCTGGACATCAAGCAGTCAAACTGTTTGCATGATTGTAATCAGCATTGAGTCCTCTACCAAAATTGTGAAATTCATGGCCCTGGGGTCAGGGGTTCTAGTGCTAGGACGGGGCTAAAGTAAGTATATAGTGAATAATGCATTATTTCTTTGAAAATCTTCTTCTCTGCTCACTGGGTATTAAATAAACCAACTCAAGTACATAGTTATGATGAGCAAGAGTGCCTTACCAAAACTGTGAAATTTATGGCCCCAGGGTCAGGGTTCTGGTGTTAAAATGGGGCTCTATTGATTATATATAGTGAATATACATGAAAATTCTTTAAAAATCTTCTCTGCCACTGGGTATTAAATAAACTAACCATGTACATATTATGATGAGCAGGTAGTGTCTAAATTCAAAGTTGTTGAATTTTATGGCCCCAGGGTCAAGGATTCTGGTGTTGGGGACCCAAGTTTTACATTGAATATATAGGAAAAATACATGAATTAAAAAAAATCTTCTTCTCTGAACCACTGGGTAGGAAAAACTAAAACTCATGTGCATAGTTATAATGAGGTAGTGTCAATTCAAAGTTTGTGAATTTTATGGTCCCAGGGTAGGGTTGGGGTGTTAGGGCGGGGCTCTATAGTTTTATATAGTAAATATATAGGAAAAATCTTTAAAAATCTTCTTCTCAAGAACCACTGGGTATTAAATAAAAACTCATGTGTATAGTTATGTTGAGCAAGAGTGCTTTTACCAAAATTATGAATTTTATGGCCCCAGGGTCAAGGGTTCTGGTGTGTGTAGGATGGGGGGCTCAAGTTGATTATATAGTGAAATATACAAAATTCTTTGAAAATCTTCTTCTCTGAACCCTAGGAATTAAATAAACTAACTAAGTGCATAGTTATGATGAGCAAGAGTGCTTCAACCAAAATTGTGAATTTTATGGCCCCAGGGTCAAGGGTTCTGGTGTTGAGGGGGGGCTCTATTGATTATATAGTGAAAATTCATGAATTCTTTGAAAATCTTCTTCTCTGCTCCTAGGTATTAAATAAACTAACTAAGTGCATAGTTCTGATGAGCAAGAGTGCCTCAACCAAAATTGTAAATTTTATGGTCCCAGGGTCAGGGGTTCTGGTGTTAGGGTGGGGCCAAAATGGCCGACCCAAGTTTATATATAGGGATATAATGGGAAACCAATATATTTAAAATCTTCTTTTCAAGTATTCAAATAAATGATTAGTGATATTTATATGGAATGCATCCTAAATTAGATTGAAGTTCAAATCATGAACCCCAGGGAGGTTCTGGTCCCCCCACCATCACCTCAGTAAACTTTAGTTTGATCTATATGTGCTTTTTCCTAGTGAATTCTCAGGTGAGCGCTGTGGCCCCTGGGCTTCTTCTTGCTCCTAGGAATTAAATAAAAAAAAAGGTGAAACAATTTGAATATTTAATATTATTTTTGTTGACAGGTATGCAGTGATTGCCACAGGTTGTGCAGGGTGTCCCAAGATTAATGTGAAAATACATTAAATGTGACACACACTTTTGTTACCACTGTAAACAACACTGGCACCCAAACAAGACATGTGATGCGGCCAGGGCAGAAAGGTCACCCAACATGCGCTCTGCCACAACAACTTATGGTCCTGACATGGAGTTACATAACAGTACGTGTCCCTCGTGTTTTATCCAGCTCTTAATTAAAGACAAATGGAAGGGCCTTTTTAAAAGGCATGTGTGGACCTAGGGACGGTTTAATCCTTTTTATGCTGTCCATTGATATACATGTATTTTTATATCTTAAAATATGTTTTTTAAAGATTTTTACAAGCTAAGATTTTTTTTTTACATTTTTATGAATAAAAAATTGCATTGTACTCTTGAAAGTATATTATTGAAAAATACTAAGTGAAATTCCATATAAATCTACAAAATGCTGTTTATTGATTTTTCCTGAAATTAAACATGTATGTTTTTTTTATGTTGATAAAAGAATTAATGATTACTTCAGTCAAATTTAAAGATGCAGACTCTTTCAAGAACTTGTAAGAGATTTCTTAGAAGAAAAAATGTTTTCATTTGGTGGATCTCAGCTTAAAATCTGTTCCTTGTTATATAAAATTATTAATGTCCTATCTTATTCATATCTTGTCTTTTAACCTGTGAATGTTTTGTTCGTAGAAGATGACATCAAGCCCTGTCCCCGGTGTGGGGCGTTCATTATGAAGATGAACGATGGATCCTGTAATCACATGGCCTGCCCGGTCTGTGGTGCCGAGTTCTGCTGGCTCTGTATGAAGGAAATATCCGATCTACACTACCTTAGGTATTAATTGTAAATACACATCTATTGGTATTAGTTAGAGTAGTAACTTCTGTATGAAGGAAATATCCAACCTACACTACCTTAGGTATTAACTCTAAATATCCGATCTACACTACCTTAGGTATTAATTGTAAATACACATCTATTGGTATTACTTGGAGTAGATAGTTTTGTGTGAAGAAATACATGTACAATCCAATGACTTAAAGGGACATGTTAGTTGCATGTCATTTGTGAAATGGCTTGTTGAAGAGACTGTTTGGAATTGTTGATGTGTCCAGCTCTCTTTGGTATTTTGGATTGTAAGCTGAGGCTGATTTAGACACGTTTGATAAAATGCAGTGTCGGGCACACTGTTCTTTTCAATTTGTTTCTGCGTTATTGCCATATTGATTTTTATTTTGCCACCAGAGAAGGAAATATGCATCCAATATCACTGCGGCTATCATTCTGAAATGTCAGGAATAATCAAAGTATTCCCTTACCTTATATTTTATGTCTTGTTTTCGAATCTCTTACTCAGTACATAAATCTACATCAATTTCCTTTTAAGTAAATATTTGAGCTCTGAACAGTTCTTTTATGTAACATATTGTTTTTGACACCAGTTTCCTCTACACTGAGTATAATCTCTGAGTTAATCTATAAGAAAGAAAAACATTGTAATAATGATGGTCATGAAAGTGCATCTAATTTAATTATACCCTAGGTTTTCAGTTGTGCGTGTACTTTCTTAAACTTGGTTAGCAAGAAACTATTGTCATACATCTTTCTTTTTTTTTTTGTACTTCTTTTTTTTTTGGTTGCATACATGTATATCAGAACAATTGGGTTGTTAATTAATAATTATATACATGTATTATTTTCCCATTGCAGTCCCTCTGGTTGCACATTCTGGGGTAAGAAACCGTGGAGCCGGAAGAAGAAGATTCTGTGGCAGCTAGGGACTCTGGTGGGCGCTCCGGTGGGGATCACACTAATCGCAGGAATCGCTGTCCCGGCTATGATCATTGGCATTCCAGTCTGGGTAGGAAGAAAGGTGAGAAATAAATACCTTAAGCAAACATGTCATCCCCTGTGTCAGGGTGTAAAATAACATGTTATGGAAATATTGAAATTAAATTGATCCTGCTTGTTCTGTTGATAGAAATTATTTCCAAAATGTTTTGATTGTAATTAATGCAAATAGTAAAATGAAACGTGAAGTTAGATACTACAATTTTTTCCCTCTATAAATCATTAATATCTTTTTTTCCTTTTTTTTGAAGCTCATTTGTCATGACATTGTACTTTTAGATATATTCAAAGTATGAGTTGGTGTATACATCTAAACATAAGCGTAACCTGGCTATAACTGGAGGGGTGGCTGCTTCAGTCATTGTAGCCCCGGTGGTGGCAGGACTAACTGTAGGTAAGTGATTCATCTTCATCTCAAAATTGGTAAAAAAATATCGATAACAATATGTTTTGCTTGTAAACAAATAGGAACATACAAAATTTTCATTTGATTGACTATGGCGTATGTATTGTGATACGTGTATGCTCTATTTGCTACAGCAATAGGAGTTCCTATCCTCCTGGCCTATGTGTATGGTGTGGTACCTATCTCCCTCTGTAGAAGTGGGGGCTGTGGGGTCACAACCTCAGGAAAGGGTGGGGTCAGGTTTGAATTCGATGAGGAAAATGATACAGCAGGAACCATCGGTCAACATTTAGGTCAGTTTTAAGAAAATAAGTATGGTCATTCTTAATTACTATATACAAACATTTCTTTTTTAAGTATACAAGCAAAATAAATAATCACTGAATGGAAGAATAAACAAACAAAATCTTAAAAGCAATGGGTTTGTTTTTAACACCTCATCTCAAATACAATGTTTGCAAAAGATTTTTGGGGAAAACTTTGTTAAAATTTCTTATTCCTGTTTGTAGATAATCAGAGTGTTGGAACAGGCCATAATGTAGCCAACCCTAGCATCGGGCCGAGTATTGGGGATGCCTCGCTGGGTATGACAAGCAGTCTGAGTGCCAGTGGTAGTCACATGGAGAGGATAGGGGTGATTCGAGACGAGGGGGACACTGCCAGTACCAGGGCCATAGGAGGACTCAGTCTCAATGGCAGTATATGTGAGGGGGCCTCACTCATTAGTGCTTTCCAGTCAAAGTAAGTTACATATGATAGTGAACAGCGGGTCTTATTTACATGTGTGAGATATATATCATAAAGTCAGAATACAGGTGAACATTACCTATAATAGTGTAATAAAAGAAGAAGGAAACGTTTACATGGCATTTATTGTACACATTATGATGCATAAGGCCAAAAAAAATAATAGTCTTGTTTCCTGCTACCAGCCAGAAAAAAATAGGGTAGGTAGGTAGGAAAATTATTTTATTTTTTAATTTTATTTTATTTTTTCCAACGGTATTTTTTTGGATATGAACTACTACAAAACCAAATTGAACATGTCATAGCTATGGTCAATATCATCTTTTAAAATGAAATTCCATGTCTTTGGATGCACAACTCATGTGGAATTTTATGAAAGTCCATATTTCATGTATTTTAAACATATATTTCATGTAAGCTATCTAAATTTAATTCCCTGGTTCTCAGGCCAATTTTCTCCATAACAGATGCGGGAGGGCGGCATTTTATTTTTCATTTTATTGGCAATAAAGTAGATGAGGGAGGTATTTTTTTTAATTTTAATTTCCGAATTTTCTTTAATATAAAGCTAATTTTTTTAATCACAGATATACTTTCCATTTCTGGTGAAAATTTCTGCTTTATCCATTGCTTAACAGCGTGTAAACATTGTAGGTAATGTCCTCGAATGTATTTTCAAACGAAGTAGCCAAAATCTCATTGTAAAATGGCTACCGGAAGTGATATTTGAATACTAAACTACGAAACAAATGAGATCGGAAATTTTTTTCCCGGATTGGTCTTCGCAATACCAACTTTTTATTTTATCAAAAATACAATAAAATCGGCAATGCAGCTACCTCAAAACGGATGCGCGCGGGCCTGAGAACCAAGATTTCAATTTTATATGGCCTAAGTCCATATTTTAAACATATATTTCATGTAATACAACTTGAGTATATATATTTTTTTTTTCACTTTTGAAACATGAAATTCCTAAAATTTTGAATTTTTTCCCTAAAAGCTAAAAAAAACTTTAGGGTCGGGTGCAAAAAAATAGGGTAGGTCGGGTAGCAGGAAACAAGACTATTTTTTATTTTGGCCTAAAGCCATTATATGTAAATTCGGTAAAACAGTAATGAAAGAAAAGAATTGCTTTTATAAGGTAATGCTCCAGCTCTGATGATTTTCCTGGAAGAAATCCTGACATGCTTTGTTGAAGTCTGTCACGAAAAAGGAGTATTATACCCAGCTCCCTAAAAATCAATACATGGTCATGCAATGCAGAATTTTCGTTCTTTTATAAAACTAAGAACAACTGGAGTTCTTTATTTCCTGATTTGAATTGTCAGCAGACATGAGATTGACTAAGTGTCTGTTGATTATGAAAAAAAATCAACAGTAACTTATGTCAGTAATGAGCACACATTATGGAATCGAGGGTTTGACAGAAGAATTTTTAATCATGTTCTTTAGAACACAGAGGCAACATGCTTAGTGAGACTAATGCAAAAAATATATACATGTAAGTTCTAGCATCATGGCCCTCATAGCCACGGTGTGAAGTGAAAGGTGACTTCTGTTGATATTGTGACCAGATATCTTTATAAATGATAATTTCTTTATTATTGTCTTGATTCCAGACTTGAAGTGCAAGCAGATGTGTCTTCAAATCTACAGAAGAGAAACAGCTTTAGTAGTGGTTCAGCTAACTTCAGCATCGGGGAGAAGTCAGGGACTGTGTCTATAGGAGACAATGCCAGTACAAAGGCTCTGGCTGGATCTATTGCTGGATACAGGTATGGAGGCAGAAATTCAGACTCGGCAACAGATTATCTAACTGAGCATAGCATCTGTATTAAAACAGATGAAAGTAACTTTATTTTATAACAGTTCAATCTTATGTAATGAGGATATTTATTTATTACATTCGTTTTTGGCTACTGAAATTAATAAACCTCTTCAAATAAGTAGAGGATTAAATATTATAAAGTTTACTTGTCAATCAATTATGTGATATATTGTTAAAACAATCATTTTAGGGACAAGGATAACACATCTATAGGGACATCACCTTATGAAGTGCAGGTTGATGTAGATTCCTCACAGACACAGAGTCCTGAGGACTACTCCGAGAGGAACGTCCCCGAAAAGCCTCGCAATCAATCAGGTCAAAGTTCACCGGTGTCAGGGTGCAGTGTGCGTCTTTCTTCCATGGATGATCACAAGCATAAGTGTCGACGCTGTAAGCGTTCCTTGGCCTGTGATCGCGGATCAGAACAACAAAGTGTTCACTTCTCTGATAGGGTCAGCCTGCAGAACTTTCAGACAGATGAAATCGTTTCCCAAAGTTTGAATGAGAATTCAGAGGAGATGGATTTAAATGAAGAGTCAGTGTTTGAACCAATAAATAATCCTATATTTAAAGAAGTCATATGTGGTAAAACACCAGAGACCTTTAACGATCATTCTTCTGCTTTTGAGAAGGCACTAGCTGCTTCATTACCCGAGGTGGAAAGTGACAAGCCAGTCCTGAAGGGGACGGAGACGGCACGTAAAGCGGTGTCTACGACGGCACTCATCTCACAGCAGGAATTCCAAAGCATGGAGAAACATCGCAATCTAAGTAAAAGTAAAAGTCACGAAGATTGTGCCATAGCTAAGCAGAAACAAAAGAAGGGCAGGATAAGGCATCACAGTTGTGAAATCGCTATGGACTCGGGGCGTATTTCTCCCTCGGTTCTAGCTAATCAGGATCAGTCGGCTCTTTGAGAGCTTTGTCTGTGTCTTTGTCAGTTACTGGCATCATCTCATCAATACTACCTTATATCATTACAGCTCCTTCGTTGTATCATTTATTCTACATGTGTATAATTTTGTAGCCATAGGTTGTCTATTTATAGACTATTAAGAAATTTATCTTTCAAAGACAATGCAGTAAAATGCTACTTTTACCTTTAATAATATACATTTCTGTTATTTAAGTATCATTTTTTGCAAATGAGTGAAGAGTTGGGCCCCCTTAAAAACACCCCCCAAAATACAGAGATCAAATTTAGCTCAGGGAAGCATCAAAGTGAACTTGTGATTGGTTTATACGAGCAGATGGCTGATACGTTTGTTTAAAGTTGTTTGATATCAGAATTTGAATGAGACCAGTTTTAATGTGAGGAGGGTAAGATACAAGTGGATTTACCGGTATGTTTCAGTATTAAAAGAAAACAGGATGAAACAACTTCGGGGTTGAGGGGGCGTCATTGGTGCTCGATATTTTTTTTGTTGTTTATATATTTTTTGTTCTTAGTTGCTCATTGTCATGTTCAGCACAGTGAGGATAAGATTTTGTGATAGCTAATAGATCTTTGATATTGAAAGTTGTTTGAACTCCATTTTGTACAAATTTTGTTTTGTTTTCTTGTTTGGGTAAATGTTGTTTATATTTTCTTGTGGCATGAAAGTTAAGTGCAATCAGTTTATTCTTTGTAATGCATTTATCGTTGTATGGATGTGTATTCCTAAATGAGCTTAAGATTGGTAAACATGTTTTAATTATTTTGAAAGGTTACGTGTATTTTGTACTTTTTTTTTCAGATACTTATATTAATTTCAAAGCACAATTATCTTCTTTAGAGTGTAATACAGTTACTCAAGTGATGTAAAATCTTCTCTTCAAACAAAATGATTCAGTGCCTTTTATAGATGGAGATATGAAATTTTCATTTAACAAAATAATCACATACATAGGAGGCAGTATGCAAAGTTTCTAACAATTTCTTGACCTCCCTACAGAATTCATTTTTTTTCTTTTTTGTTAGATTCTTAAGTAAATTAAAAGAAAACATTAAGATAAATGAAAAAATATACCCCCAAAAATGCATTCTTAAATGGAACATTTATTTTAAAGATACATTAATGTACTTTCTTTTAACTTTATTCGAAATTTATTCAGTGAATTGGTATAAAAAATTTTATGCATATTGCCTCCAGTTAAGCTTTCTTCATTCTTTGGTGTATATTGGGAAGGAATTCAAAGTAATTTAATTCATAAACTTAAGGCTCATCTTACTGCATGTTCATGACCATTTGATGGAAAACAAAAATGTTGCACACATTTGATAACTTTAAA